CTGCCTCAGCCTCCTGAGTAGCTGGGATTACAGGCACGCGCCGCCATGCCCAGCTAATTTTTTTGTATTTTTAGTAGAGACGAGGTTTCACCATGTTGACCAGGATGGTCTCGATCTCTTGACCTCGACCTCGTGATCCACCCGCCTCGGCCTCCCAAAGTGCTGGGATTACAGGCTTGAGCCACCGCGCCCGGCCTGAAAGTTCTTTTCTTTAAGGATGTTGAATATTCGTCCCCACTCTTTTCCGGCTTGTAGGGTTCCTGCTTAGAGATCTGCTGTGAGTCTGATAGGCTTCCCTTTGTGAGTAATGCAACCTTTCTCTCTGGCTGTCCTTAGCATTTTCTCCTTCATTTTAACCCTGGTGAATCTGGTGATTATGTGCCTTGGGGTTGCGCTTCTTGAGGAATATCTATGTGGTGTTCTCTGTATTTCCTGGACTTGTATATTGGCCAGCCTTGCTAAGCTGGGGAAGTTTTCCTGGATAATATTCTGAAGAGTGTTTTCCTGCTAGTTTCATTCTGTCCATCACATTCAGATACACCTGTCAAACGTAGATGAGGTGTTTTCACATAGTCCCATATTTCTTGGAGGCTTTGTTCGTTTCTTTTTACTCTTTTTTCTCTAGTCTTGCCTTCTCGTTTTATCTCATTGAGTTGATGTTTGACCTCTGACATCCTTTCTTCTACTTGGTCAGTTCGACTATTGAAACTTGTGTATGCTTTGTGATGTTCTCAAGCTGTGTTTTTCAGCTTCATCAATTCATTTATGTTCCTCTCTAGGCTGTTTATTCTCATTAGCATTTCGTCAAGCCTTTTTTCAAGGCTCTTAGTTTCTTTGCATTGGGTCAGAACATATTCTTTTAGCTCAGAAAAGTGTTATTATCCACCTTCTGAAGCCTGTTTCTGTCACTTCATCAGACTCATTCTCCATCCAGCCTTGATCCCTTGGTGGTGAGGAGTTGTGATCTCTTTGAGGAGGAGAGGCGTTGTGGTTTTTGGTGTTTTCATCCTTTTTGCTCTGGTTTCTTCCCATGTTTGTGAATTTATTTACATGTGGTCTTTGTAGTTGACTTTCAGATGGGGTCTCTGAGTGGACGTCCAGTTTATTGATGATGAAGTTATTTCCTTCTGTTTCTTAGTTTTTCTTCTAACAGTCAGGCCCCTCTGCTGTAGGACTGATGAGGTCCACTTCAGGCCCTGCTTGCCTGGGGTCACCTGCAGCAGCTGCAGAACAGTAAGGGTTGCTGCCAGTTTCTTCTGCTGCTATCTTTGTCCCAGAAGGATACCCTCCAGATGTCAGTCTGAGTTCTCCTTTATAAGGTGAGTCTTTGGATATATGGGGGTCAGGGAGTTGCTTGAGGGAGAGTCTGTCTTTTATAGGAGCTCAGGAGCTGAACTGTGAGCTCCGTTGTTCATTTAGAGCTGCTGGGCAGGTACATGTAAGTCTGCTGCAGCAGAACTCATAAAGGCCTTTTCCCCCCAGGTGCTCTGTCTCGGGAAGGTAGGGCTTTATTTATAAGTTTCTGTCGTGCTGCTGCCATTCTTCAGGGCTGCCCTGCCCAGCAAGGAGACAGCCTAGTTACAGTCTGCCTGCAGAGGCTTTGCTGAGCTGCTGTGGGCTCCACTCAGCTGCTGTGTGAACTTCCCTGCAGTCCTGTTTATAGGGGTATAGTTAGAACTGCCTCGGCAATGGTGGCCCACCTCTGTAATGATGGAACTGCCTCGGCAATGGTGGCCCACCTCTGTAATGATGGAACTGCCTCGGCAATGGCAGGCCTCCTCAGCAGTGGTGGACTGCCTCAGTAATGGCAGACACCCGTCCCCCACAGAGCTGGACCGTCCTGGGTTCAGCCGTGCTTGCTGTGAAACTCTCAATCCAGTGTTTCAGATTGCTGGTTTTTGTGGGGGTGGGACCGGCCAAGCCTGATCCCCTGGCTCCCTGCCTCAGACCCCCCCTTTTTTTTTAGTTGAATGGGCAAGTGTGTCTCCCAGGCATTTGTGTTCCAGTCACCAGTTGAAATGGCACCCAGATTTGTGTGATTTCTTGTACAGAGACCCGCTGCGCCAGCTGAAACAGCTGTTGGAGACTCGTGAGGCTTTTTCGCCTTAGAATCTCCTGGCCTGGCTTCCTGTTTCAGTCCCTGTTTTTTCAGTGGAACGGGCGACTCTGTCTCCCAGGCGTTCCAGTCCCAGGTGAAAAGGCTCCCGGGTTTGTGTGAGATTTTGTGTGGAGACCCGCTGCGCTGGTTGTGCTGGAGACTTGTGGTGCTTTTCCGCCTGGGAATCTCCTGGCCTGGCTCCCTGTTTCTGTGCCCTTTTTGTCAGTTGAACAGGCAACTCTGTCTCCCAGGCATTCCAGCTGCCTATTGAAAAGGGGCCCGGATCTGTGTGATTTCCCGTGCGGAGACCCACTGCACTGGCTGAAACAGCCACGGTGGAGATTTGTGGTGCTTTTTCGCCTGGGAATCTCCTGGCCTGGCTCCCTGTTTCAGTCCCTGTTTTTTTTAAGACTAGTCAAGTGAAGTAATGAGAAGGGGGGAAAGAGTAGAACAAGGAGTTCGATCTGTAACTGACTGTGAACCATCAACTGAGATGGCTCACTACCTTCGGACCAGCCTCAGTCTCCTTTCTATCAGTTGAATGGGCACCTCTGTCTCCCAGGCACTCCAGTCACCAGCTGAAACGGCACGTGTGAGTTTTTTGTGTGGAGACCCGCCGCACCAGCCAAAACAGCCACACTGGTGACCTGTGGCGCTCCTCCACCCCGGAATCTCCTGGTCTGTGGGCCATCTTGGATTCCTCCATCTCTGTATCTTAATTTTATGATAGTGACCATATCCTTTGTCAAACTCACAGAGCTGCCGGGTGCAGTGGCTCACACCTGTAATCCCAACACTTTGGGAGCCCAAAGTAGGCAGATGACTTGAGCTCAGGATTTTTAGACCAGCCTGGTCAACATAATGAACCCCCGTCTCTACAAAATTAGCTGGGCATGGTGGCATGCACCTGTACTCACAGCTGCTTGGGAGGCTGAGGAGGGAAGATCGCTTGAGCCCAGGAAGTCAAGGCTGCAGTGCGCTGTGATTGCACCACTTCACTCCAGCCTGGGTGAAAGAGTGAGACCCAGGCTCAAAATACAAATAATTAAAATAAATCAGGAGGCTGAGGTATGAAAATTGCTTGAACCCAGGAGGTTGAGGCTACAGTGAGCCATGATTGAGCTGCTGCATTCCAGCCTGAGTGACAGAGTGAGACCTGGTCTTTTTTTTTTTTGAGACGGAGTTTCGCTCTTGTTACCCAGGCTGGAATGCAATGGAGGGATCTTGGCTCACCGCAACCTCCGCCTCCTGGGTTCAGGCAATTCTTCTGCCTCAGCCTCCTGAGTAGCTGGGATTACAGGCACGTGCCACCATGCCAAGATAATTTTTTTTTGTATTTTTAGTAGAGACAGGGTTTCACCATGTTGATCAGGATGGTCTCGATCTCTTTTTTTTTTTTTTTTTTTTTTTTTTTTTTTTTTGAGAGGAGTTTCGCTCTTGTTACCCAGGCTGGAGTGCAATGGCGCGATCTCGGCTCACCGCAACCTCCGCCTCCTGGGTTCAGGCAATTCTCCTGCCTCAACCTCCTGAGTAGCTGGGATTACAGGCACGCACCACCATGCCCAGCTAATTTTTTTGTATTTTTAGTAGAGACGGGGTTTCACCATGTTCACCAGGTTGGTCTCGATCTCTCGACCTTGTGATCCACCTGCCTCGGCCTCCCAAAGTGCTAGGATTACAGGCTTGAGCCACCGCGCCCGGCGAGACCTGGTCTTAAAAAAATAAATAACTAAAATAAGTAAAAAGTTATTTGGGGCCAGGCACAGTGGCTCATGCCTATAATCCCAGCACTTTGGGAAGTCGAGGAGGGCAGATTATGAGGTCAGGAGTTCAAGACCAGCCTGACCACCATGGTGCAACCCCAGCTCTACTAAAAATACAAAAATTAGCTGGGCGTGGTAGTGCGCCTGTAATCCCAGCTGCTGGGGAATCTGAGACAGGAGAATCCCTTGAACCCAGGAGGTGGAGGTTGCAGTGAGCTGAGATCGCATCACTGCACTCCAACCTGAGCAACAGAGTAAAACTCTTGTCTAAAAAAAAAATTTGGCCAGGCGTTGTGCCTCACACACACCTGTAATCCCAACACTTTGGGAGGCCGAGGTGGGTGAATTACCTGAGTTTAGGAGTTCGAAACCAGCCTGGCCAATATTGTGAAACCCTGTCTCTACAAAAAATAGAAAAATTAGCTGGATGTGGTGGCATGTGCCTGAAATCCCAGCTACTCGAGAGGCGGAGGCAGGAGAATCGCTTGAACCTAGGATGTAGAGATTGCAGTGAGCCGAGATTGCTCCACAGGCACTCCAGCCTGGGCAACAGAGCAAGACTCGGTATCAAAAAATAAATAAAGTTGGCCGGGCGCGGTGGCTCAAGCCTGTAATCCCAGCACTTTGGGAGGCCGAGGCGGGTGGATCACGAGGTCGAAAGATCGAGACCATCCTGGTCAACATGGTGAAACCCCGTCTCTACTAAAAATACAAAAAACTAGCTGGGCTTGGTGGTGCGTGCCTGTAATCCCAGCTACTTAGGAGGCTGAGGCAGGAGAATTGCCTGAGCCCAGGAGGCGGAGGTTGCAGTGAGCCGAGAACGCGCCATTGCACTCCAGCCTGGGTAACAAGAGCGAAACTCCGTCTCAAAAAAAATAAATAAATAAATAAATAAAGTAAAAAACAATAAATAAACCTCACAGAACTAAACACTGAAGAGAGTGAATTTTACTGTATGTGAATTTGTTGCATCCTAATTTAAAAGAGAATTGCTCAGTCTTCAGGTTAATTCCTTGACGATCATGAACACTGTGGTGTGTAACCTATAGGACAGGGTTGTCTGAGGTTTTCTGGAGCAGGAGAGGGTAGGGCAGGCGCAGAACCTCACGAGCTGAACCAGCTGAACTGTGTCTTTGCAGGGATTTTATCAGGGAGAAAAAGTATCGGACGGAGGCTGAGATGTTTGGATGGAGCTTTGTCTTTGAGGACTTTGTCTCTGATGAGCTGAGAAACAAAGCAACCCAGCCGATGAAGGTGAGAAAACCTGGACTTCAAGCTGAAGTCTACGAGTGGGACCTAGAGCACCTGTGGACATGGGTCACCTAGGACACAGTGGAGAGTCGGACCTGAGACCTGGAGGCAGAGGGGAAGCAGGAGAAACCCACCCTGGAGCGTCAGATCAGTACACACTCCCAGGAAGTTAACCCTGAACCCAAGTTAGCTCTTGCCTAAAGGTCCAAGTCAGGATAGGGTTCAAGATACTTCCTGAATCAAGAGATCACATTGAGAGGCCAGGCGCGGTGGCTCATGCCCATAAACCCAGCACTTTGGGAGGCTGAGGTGGGTGCATCACCTGAGGTCAGGAGTTCGAGACTAGCCTGGGCAAGATGACAAAATGCCGTCTCTAATAAAAATAAAAAAATTAGCCAGGTGTGGTGTTGCACATCTGTAATCCCAGCTACTCGGGAGGCTAAGGCAAGAGAGTTGCTTGAACCTGGGAAGCTGAGGTTGCAGTGAGTGGAGATCGCACGGCTGCACTCCAGCCTGGGCAATGACGAGAAAAGAGATCTGTCTCAAAAAATAAAAAAGAAGTCACCTTGGCAAGCCAACCTTCAATAAGGGTGGTTGGTAAGATGGGACTCTGTTAAGATTCCAGTCTCAGCTGGACATGGCGGCTCACGCCTATCACCTCAGCACTTTGGGAGGCTGAGGTGGGACAATCACTTAAGCCCAGGAATTCAAGGCCAGCTTGGGCAACATAGTGAGACCCCATATCTACAAAAAAAATAAGACAATTAGCTGGGCGTGGTCTTGCACACCTGTAGTCCCAGCTCCTCAGGAGGTTGAGACTGCAGTGAGCTGTGATGGTGCCACTGCACTGTAGCTTGAGTGACATGGCAAGACATTGTCTCAAAAAAAAAAAAAAAAATTCCAGCCACAACCTGACAGAGCACCTGAGTCTCAGCCTGACATCTCTTCTGGTGGGAAGGTGCCCTTGCTGGGCGAGGCATCTTGCAACTGGTCTCTTTTTTTGCAGCCTGTGCTCTGGTGGCTTCCAGTGGAAAAGGCATTTTGGAGACAGGTAAGGGCAGATTCCACTACCTTATTTCCTATCCCTGCTTAACTCTTTTACTCTCCGGGCCCAGCTTCCCATACCTCTTGTACATCTAGGAACACTGAGTTTCAGAGGATGACGGGAATATCAGGAAATCGCTCACAGTCTTGCTTCCTCTGCAGAATTCTCTTTCCTGTTACCCATCCATTTCCCCCTTCCGTCTCCTGTAGTCTCTCTTTCCTGGCTCCGGATGCTCCTCACTCGCCCGGCTCTCTTCCAGCTCCCCTGCTCCATCTACTGGTAAAAGCTGAAAGCAAGCACCCTAAACCTAGCCTGCCTGGTACTTATTGCACTCCCGGAAGCCTGTCTCACTTCATCCTGGCTGTCAGCCTGCAGGTCCTGGCTCTGGCATCCGAGAGAGACTGGAGCACCCAGTGTTACACGTGAGCTGGAATGATGCCCGTGCCTACTGTGCTTGGCGGGGAAAACGGCTGCCCACCGAGGAAGAGTGGGAGTTTGCTGCCCGAGGGGGCTTGAAGGGTATCCAGATGATGAGGCGATTTTTCTTTGTTCTTCTCCCTGTCCCGCCTTGTATGGGGGGCTCTAAAGGGTGGGAAGGGGCTGGGTGAGGTGGCTCATGCCTGTAATCCCAGCACTTCAGGAGGCCGAGGTGGGCGGATCATGAGGTCAAGAAATTGAGACCGGGCCGGGCGCGGTGGCTCACGCCTGTAATCCCAGCACTTTGGGAGGCCGAGGCGGGTGGATCACGAGGTCAAGAGATCGAGACCATCTTGGCCAACATGGTGAAACCCCGTCTCTACTAAAAATGCAAAAAATTAGCCAGACGTGGTGGCGTGTGCCTGTAATCCCAGCTACTTGAGAGGCTGAGACAGGAGAATTGGTTGAACCCAGGAGGCGGAGGTTGCGGTGAGCCAAGAATGCGCCATTGCACTCCAGCCTGGGCAACAAGAGCGAAACTCCGTCTCAAAAAAAAAAAAAAAAAAAAGAGATTGAGACCATCCTGGCCAACATGGTGAAACCCCGTCTCTACTAAAAATACAAAAATTAGCTGGGCATGGTGGTACTCGCCATGAGCCGAGATTGTGCCAGTGCACTCCAGCCTGGGCGGCAGAGCAAGACTCCACCTCAAAAAAAAAATTAGTAACTGGGCCAGGTGCTGTGGCTCACACTTGTAGACCTGCTCAGGTCCCAGAACCGCGCTTAGGACTGCATAGCCGTGGCGCCCAGGAGGAGGGCAGGGCCCCCAGTGCAGTGCAGTGAGCGGAGAGGACGGGCGTGCGGACTTAAAAGCACGTCATTTCACTCTTTTTTCTCAGAACCTTCTAACTTCCTTTTGGTTGTCTCACTGTTTTTTTTTCTTCCCTAATTATTCACTTCGCCTCCTCGCTGTCCTGGCAGGTCAGGTTTACCCATGGGGGAACCGGTTCCAGCCAAACCGCACCAACCTGTGGCAGGTAAGACCTGGGTTCCTGCTTTCACCAAGCACCACTGAGACTGCGGCAGGCCAGGCGCTGCGTCGTTAGGCCGCGGCATCTGGAGGGCCTGGGTTCCGATGGAGCTCATGACTCAGCTGGCAAAGCAAAAGGCAACGGGGCATAAGTACTTAATTTCTTTTTCTTTCTTTCTTTTTTTGAGACAGAGTCTCTCTGTCAGCCAGGCTGGAGTGCAGTGGTGTGATCTCGGCTCACTGCAACCTCCACCTCCGTGGTTTAAGCAATTCTCCTGCCTCAGTTTCCTGAGTAGTTGGGATTACAGGTGCCTCCCACCACAGCCAGCTATTTTTTTCTCTTTTTAGTAGAGGTGGGGGTTCGCCATGTTGACCAGGCTGGTCTTAAACTCCTGAGGTGATCCGCCTGCCTCAGCCCCCCAAACTGCTGGGATTACGGGCATGAGCCACCGTACACGGCCCTACAAATCTTTAATATAAAGTACTTATGGTGGCCAGGCGTGGTGGCTCACACCTGTAATCCCAGCACTTTAGAAGGCTGAGGCAGGTGGATCACCTGTGGTCAGAAGTTTAAGACCAGCCTGACCAACATGGAGAAACCCCATCTCTACTGAAAATAGAAAATCAGCTGGGCATGGTGGTACAGGCCTGCAATCCCAGCTACTCGGGAGGCGGAGGCAGGAGAATCATTTGAACCCGGGAGACAGAGGTTGCGGTGAGCCGAGATCACTCCACTGCACTCCAGTCTGTGCAACAAGAGCAAAACTCTATCTCAAAAAAAAAAGTAAGCAAATAAATAAATAATAAAAAATTAGTTGGGCTTGGTAACATGCACCTGTAATCCCAGCCGCTTGGGACTTGGGCAGGAGAATCACTTGAACCCAGGAGGCAGAGGTTGCAGTGAGCTACGATCACACTTCCACTGCACTGCAGCCTGAGTGACAGAGTGAGACCTTACCTCAATAAATAAACAAATAAATAAGTACAAATAAAATAAGCAAGTGAAAAAGCACTGTCTTGGGAAGGCTGGCAGGAGTAGGCTGCAGTGCTCAGGCAGGGGCGGGGGGCGGGGGCGGAGGAGGCTCCGTGGCACGTGGGGTTCTAGGCAGAGGGCAGGAAGTTGCTGAGAGTGGAGAGGACAGGTGTGGACTGAGCTTGACCTGGAGTCCTGTGGGCGCAGCGTAAACACTTCCGAATCCAGCGGGGAGCTTGCCGTGGAGGTGTGAGGTGACGGGACTGGGGGCTCCGTATGGAAACCTTAGGTCACCGCCCTTTGCCCTTCCCCTCGAATCGTTTTCCTCTAGATAGGCAGGAGGTAAATCCTTTGCCTTCCTTTCTCCCTTCAGGGAAAATTCCCCAAAGGGGACAGAGCTGAGGACGGCTTCCATGGAGTCTCCCCCGTGAATGCTTTCCCTGCCCAGAACAACTACGGTAAGAGCTCTCCTGGGCTCGCGGCCGTGCTCTCAGACTGGCTGCCGAGACCGTCGTGTCTGAGAGGGGGGGCAGAGGGAAGCACCTCCCTGCCCGCAGTTGGCCCCCAGGTCCTCGGTCCCAGCCTGGCCTGACCCACTGGTGGGGCTGCAGGGCTGTACGACCTCCTGGGCAATGTGTGGGAGTGGACGGCGTCTCCATACCAGGCCGCCGAGCAGGACATGCGCGTCCTTCGGGGGGCATCCTGGATCGACACAGCTGATGGCTCTGCCAATCACCGGGCCCGGGTCACCACCAGGTAAGGGGCTTGGTCCCAGGGAACGCTCGGCTTAGTCTGGATCCCGGTCTGGAATGCCCCCACCTTCACACCATGACCGGCTGTGTGTAACGAGCCGGTCCCAGCACCTCCCTGAGCCCATGCCCTGTTGTGGGTACAGAAAAGAAAGCCAGCAGCACTTGCCATGAAAAGCAAAGGGGCCCGGGACACCTTGCGACTTTTCTGCCAGCTCTCAGTACCCAGGGAGACTGTGTGTGGCATCTGAATTATGGGGTTTCTCCTCCTGTCCTCACAGCTAGGTGAGCAAAGGGAGGGGAGGGGAGTGACCACGTCAGTGTCCTTGCTGGTGGTCCTGGAGTTACTGGCTCTTCAGACTGGTGGGCACAAAAAGTCATTTTTTGTTTTTGAGACGAAGTCTCGCTCCGTTGTCCATGCTGGAGTGCGGTGGTCAGTCTGGGCTCACTGCAGCCTCAAACTGCCAGGCTCTGGCGTTCCTCCCACCTCAGGTCCTCAAGTATCTGGGATTACAGGCAGCACCGCTATGCGCAGCTAACTTTTGTAGAGATGGGCTTTTTCTGTAGAGATAGGTGTTGCCATGTTGCCTGGGTTGGTCTGTAACTCCTGGACTCAAGCAGTCAGCCCGCCTTGGCCTCCCAGAGTGCTGGGATTGCAGGCATGAGCCACTGCGCCCGGCCACGATATTCTCATTGCTTGAGGACAGGTTTTCTCTACCGAATTGTTCTCAGCTGCTAACAGTAGAAGTTAGTCACTGTCTTTTCTGCCCCCCAGTGCTGTCTCTCTGGGCCACTGTCCCTTCCCTCACTCCTGCAAGGCCCCTTCTTTTGTCGCAAAGCCCCCGCTTGTCGCCTTTCTCCCAGGACTGGTCCGGGCTCAGGACCTGCCCTCAAAATAGGCTTCTTTCCAGACTATGCCCTCCCCAGCCCTCAGGCCCCCCGACCACAGCCCGCCCTGTGGGTGAGGCAGGGAAGATGGGTAAGCCCCCAGGCCGCTTTCTCAGAACATGTCCCTCCTCTCTCTCCTTCTCTGCTGGCAGGATGGGCAATACTCCAGATTCAGCCTCAGACAACCTGGGCTTCCGCTGTGCAGCAGACACAGGCCGGCCGCGGGGGGAGCTGTGAGCAGCCGGGCGGCGACAGGGAGAAAAGCCCTTCAGGGTCACTGTCATTCCTGGCCATGTTGCAAACACAGCCCAGGTCCAAGCTCAGGAGCGTCAGCCTCAGGAAGAAACTGCCCCTCTCCTGTCTGCCATCCCTCTGTGGCAGGCATCTCAGCAGGGCAGGAGAGGACTCAGCCTGCTGTGTCTTGGAGGAGGGGCCTCATGTGTCGGTGGTGGCTGGGAGCTCGGTGTTTGTCTTTGAAGCCAAGTATTATCGACACAGGGGCGAGCACGCAAACAACTTAACAGGAGGCTCTGAGGGCCGTTTGTTAAACGTTTTAGAATGCGTTCTCTCCCACTTTCTCCCTAGATGTTTCCTTAAGGCAGATTTCCGTGGTTCTGTTTGTTTTCCTGGCCAATTGCTGTGGAAGGAGAATGCTTTTTTCATGGCCTCATTTGTTGTTTTGTGTCCGTCTGAAGGAAACTAGTTTCCAGTGTGTAACAGGCAGGCATGTGGCTATTTAAAGCACAGTTCAGTCCTAAAAGGGCCTGGGAGAACTAGATGATGTGCCAGGTGAGTCGGTGCATTGTGGGAATCACAAAGCAAATAATACTCCAGGAATACAAACAGCAGAAGCTTCCATTCTATTGTTTTTTATTTTTATTTTTCTGAGACAGGGTCTTGCTTTGCCCACACCAGAGGACGGTGGTGATCACAGCTCACTGCAGCCTTCAACTCCTGGGCTCAAGCAATTCTCCCACCTCAGCTTCCCAAGTAGCTGGGACTACAAGTGTGCACCACCATGCCTGGCTACTTTTTATAGTAATGGGATCTCACTATGTTGCCCAGGCTGGTCTTGAACTCCTGGCCTCAAGCACTCCTCCCACCTTGACCTCCCAAAGTGCTGGGATTACAGGTGTGAGCCACCATGCCTGGATCCCCTTCTCCATATGCCTCTAAAAACATGCTACTGGAGGGTAGCCTGCTCCCGCACTGTCACTAGGTGTCACGGGGTCAATACAACCTCATTTCTGTCTTTGATCCTCACCCTAGGGACCCTAAGGAAAGAGGGCCCGAGTGTCAGTAACTCTGCGCCTCCCCTAAAGAGAGACTGAGATGGTGGCTCATCTAGGAAGTGGAGGAGCAGGGGGCTTCTGGGTCTCAGCCCACATGTCATCTCTGCCCACCCAGGGCCTGGCCAGCCTGCAGGTATTGCTGTGTGGTGGGAACACCTGCTTCCCTCGTGCACAGCCTTTGAGGGGGTCATGGCCTCAACTGCAGGGGTTTCCGGTGAGGGCCAAGTGCTTCCGCAGAGGCCTGCGTGCGTCTCACCCCTTCGACTTTTATTTCCCTGGCTTCCCCTCCCCGCCTGCCCTCTAGCCCTCCCTGACTGGCCAGCCCCTCAGTAGTCCTCCTCAGCCAGGGAGAGGAGCACTGCCTTGGGTGTGTTCTCGAAGAGGGCGGCCCGGTTCTGCTGCTGCCCCTTCTTCACCCAGTGGCCGTAGATTCGGAAGGCGTAGGCGTCGATGAGCCGGCGCAGAGGCCGGAGGGCGTAGGGGTCTCGGATGACGATCTCCCGGGTCACGGGCTTCACTCGGCGGTACTGGTAGTAGATCCGCACTGCAGCCAGCACGGTCAGAGCAAGCACCTGCCCCCCGGGCGGAGAAGCTGGGCTGCAGCCCCCGCCAGCCAGCCCCTGGCCGTCCAGCACAGGGATGCCCTGGGCTCGTTTGCCACGAAGCCTTGAGTGGCTTCTTGGGGTCCCTCCTAGTGTCCCTCACTTCCTCCTCACTGGCATCTGCAGGGATGGAGTGGGCTGACTCCTGTCATCTCTGAGGCCGGCAGTGGAGCTGGAGCTGCCACAGGGTGGCTAGGAGAGGAGGGGCAGGTGCTCTGGACACCCTTGGGGTGTAAGGACACCTGGGAGAGGAGCGCGCTTGGAGGTTTGGACTGGGGGTGCTGGCAGCAGCTGCCACGGGGGCTGGGGCGGGATGCTTCGTACCTTGAACTTCCCCCGGGGGCTGAAGTGCCGCACTTCCTCCGCCACGTACTGCTGGAAGAAGGGGTGTGCCAAGGCCTCTTCTGCTGTGCAGCGGCTCTGGGGCTGCACCACCAGGAAGCGGGAGACCTGGGAGGGAACGAGAGGGGCGCCGAGAATGTCAAGGCAGGTCCCCTCGGCACGTCAGGGGACGAGGGCCTTCTCGGACAGGGGCGCCTGGCACTGGGGCCCTGAGCCCAGGGCGGGTAGGCCTGGCCTCTCACCAGGTCCTTCACGGTGTCCGAGTAGTCATCCCACTCGGGTGAGCCAAACTGATAGTTGCCACTCATGATCATCCTCAGCATCAGCATCTGCTTCCGGTGCCAGAAGGGCGGGGAGCCGGCCAGCAGTGTGTACATGATGACTCCCGTGCTCCACCTGGAGGTGTGAGGGCTCAGGGCCACTTACCCAGCGCCAGGGGCACCGGCCCAGCCCAGCCAGGCGCTCCTCTCCCCCAGCGAACTCACATGTCCACCTCCTTCCCGTAGCCTGGATGGTCGTCGTTCATGGAGCACTCGATGATCTCAGGGGCCAGGTAACTGGGGGTCCCACAGACCTCTGCAGGAACAGTCGCCATCAAGACAGGTCAGCAGGGCGCTCAGAATAGGAAGTCCAGGCTGGGTGCAGTGACTCATGTCTGTAATCCTAGCACTTTGGAAGGCCGAAGCAAGTGGGTGACCTGAGGCCAGGAGTTCGAGACCAGCCTGGCCAACATGGCGATACCCCCGTCTCTACTAAAAATATAAAAATTAGCAGGGCCTGGTGGCATATGCCTGTAGTTTCAGCTACTCAGGAGGCTGAGGCAGTTTCAGCTACTCAGGAAGCTTGAACCCAGGAGGCAGAGGTTACAGTGAGCCGAGATCGCCCCTCATCTCAGAAATAAAAGAGGAAGTCCAAAGTGACAATGGAGATGGAACAGAAATGGCACTTGGGCTGGGACTCCCCCAGTGTTCACCAGCTTCAGGGCCCAGGGCAGGGCTGGGTACTTCCTGTTGACATGGCTGCCAGCTCAGGGCCCACTGCTTCCCTGGTTACTTCCAGCCATCCTGGTCTGGAACTAGGGCACTGGGAGCCTGGGAGAGGACTTACCTGAAGAAATGCCTAGCCCATGAAATGGTGGGATTTTTATTCTGGGGAACAGTTAAGTTACGGGAGAAACCCAGGTCATCTCTATTCCACGGAGGGTTGGCGAGAGCCCGAGGCTCAGATGTGGGCCAAGCTCGTGTTACCGGACCTCGGAGCCTCTCTCCAGGCTCCAGCTGGCAGGAAAAGCCAAAGTCAGTGAGCTTGATGTTCATGTCGTCATCCAAGAGGATGTTCTCAGGCTTCAGGTCCCGGTGCACAATGTTGAGTTTGTGCAAGGTGCAGATCACCTCCAGCAGAGCTCGCATGATCTTCCTAGGGTGGGGCACACACTTGTCACTTCCCCCGTGCAGGGTCAGGCGACAGGCAGGGAGACACAGCTCACATTTCAGCCACACCGCAAGGGAGCAGGGCGCACGCCAGCCTCCCCTGACACCCCTGGCACCCCAGGGCCCGTGGCCCCAGGCCAAGTGGGAGGGAGCAGAGAGAAGGGCAAAGGGACTCTGACCTGGTTTCCTTCTCACTCAAGGTGACCTTCTCGGTGAGGTAGTCAAAGAGCTCCCCTCTCCTCATTCTGTGGAAACGGGGTTGGTAACTGGATTGGTCCCAAGACCACCAGCCTCCTTCCCCTGCTCCCACAGTGCTGCCTTCCACCTGGTACCTCCAGAAGCTAAGTGGGCCACTCCCCATGGAGAACCACCGTCTCGGGGGAGGAGCTGAGGAAGTGAGGAGAGAAGTGGAGGAGGGTGGAGAGGGGCCCACATCCAGGCCTCGGGCTCGCATCAACCCTCCGAGGACCGGAGGTGACCTGGGTTTCTCCCCTAACTTAGTTTTTCCCCTGGAATAAAAATCCACCTTCTCATAGGTTAGGCGTTTCCTAGGTAAGTCCTCTCCCAGGCTCCCCTTGCCCTGGTTTCAGGCCAGGATGGCTGGAAGCAACCAGGGAAGCAGTGGGCCCCAAGCTGCTGGCCCTGTGAACGGTACCCCGCTGTGGGCCCTGAAGTTGGTGGACAGTCGGGGAGCCCCAGCTCAAGCGCCCTTTCTGTTCCATCTCCACTGTATCAGCGTCAGGGTCCTCCCATCCATGGAAGTGACACCATGGACTGGGATGTATCGGGGCCTAAATCATGGCTGGAGGCTGAAAGAGGGGACCCTGTACCACTGGCCCAGGACCTCAGATCCAGATCAGAAGGACATGAGTATCCAGATCTCCCCCCCCACCCCCCCACCGAGACGGAGTTTTTGCTCTTGTGGCCCACGCTGGAGTGCAATGGCATGATCTGAGCTCACTGCGGCCTCTGCCTCCCAGATTCAAGCAATTGTCCTGCCTCAGCCTCCCGAGTAGCTGGGATTAGAGGCGCCCCCCACCACACCTGGCTAATTTTTGTATTTTCAGTAGAGACAGGGTTTCTCCATGTTTCCAGGCTAGTCTCGAACTCCTGACCTCAGGTAGCCTCCCAAAGTGCTGGGATTACAGGCGAGAGCCACCACACCTGGCTGAGTATCCTGATTTTTCCCAGGAAACAAATGGGAAGAATCTGCTGTGCAAGAGTTGCAGTAACAAAGTTTGCCAGTTTCGGGATTAAGAACTGCAGTTCAATCTTCTTACCTCCGGGGGTGATCTAGAAAGAAGTCTCGATAGAACAATCTGGTTATACGCTGGAGGGCTCCTCAGGGCAGCATTAAAAATAGCTTCCCCCAGCAACTTCTTCAAAGGTTAAAGACATTTGAGCTGCCCCCAAGGGCTGACCAGGACAGGAAGGACTGCAGAGCAGAGTCGAGACAGCTGCAGCTGGTGACTCTAGAGGGGTTGGAGAAAGTCTCCCTCTTGCCTGGGCCGGAGTGCAGTGGCACGATCTCAGCCAGCTGCATCCTCTGCTTCCCAAGTTCAAGCCATTCTTGTGCCTCGGCCTCCTGAGTAGCTAGGATTACAGATACCTGCCACCATGCTGGACTAGTATTTTTTGTAGAGATAGGGTTATGCCATGTTGCCCAGGCTGGTCTCCTATTCCTGGCCCACTGCAGCCTCCCAAAGTACTGGGACTACAGACATGAACCCCACGCCTGGCCCTAATTTAAAAAATTTTTGTAGGCCAGGCACGGTGACTCAAGCCTGTAATCCCAGCACTTTGGGAGGCTGAGGTGGGTGGATCACGAGGTCAGGAGATCGAGACCATCCTAGCCAACATGTTAAAACCCTGTCTCTACTAAAATAAATAAATAAATAATTTTTTTTTGTAGAAATGGGGTCTCACTTTGTTGCTCAGGCTGGTCTCAAACTCCTGGCCTCAAGCAGGCCTCCCACTTCGGCCTCCCAAATTGCTGAGATTACAGGTGTGAGCCACCGTGCCTGGCCAATAATAAGCCTTGAATCCACATTTCACAGAGCAGTTTGTGCTGTTCGAATTTGATGCTTACTGATAAGGGGCTCGTCTTACTAATCCTGATGATGTAGAGGTAGGGGCATGATGATGATGATGGTGATGATGATGATGATGATACTGATCTTTGGGCCACACCTAGATGCAACCTCTGCCACCTGCCTCTCTTCCCTGATACTGCTGGCCTCCCTCTTTCCAGTCCCGCCTCATTACAGCCATCCCTGGATAGCCAGTGAGATCTTTTCAAAAGTCAGTCAGGCCAGGCACAGTGGCTCATGCCTGTAATCCTAGCACTTCGGGAGGTCAAGGTAGGTGGATTACTTGAGGTCAGGAGTTCCAGACCAGCCTGCCCAATGTGGTGAAATCCTATCTCTACTAAAAAATTACACGCAAAAAAATTTGCTGGGCATGGTGGCAGGCGCCTGTAATCCCAGCTACTTAGGAGGCTGAGGCAAGACACTTGGCTTTAACCCATGAGATGGAGGTTGCAGTGAGCCAAGATTGCTCCACTGCACTCCAGCCTGGGTGACTGAGCAAAACTCTTAAAAAAAAAAAAAAGTACGTCAGACCATGTCAGCCTTGCACTGAGTGCCTGCAGAGTCTGAGGCCCTGACATCCTGCCACCCTCTGCTTGAGTCCCTTCCTGGATACCCTTTCCTGACCACTCAGTCTAAGAAGCCCCCGTCTCTCGCTAACCCCTTGTTTTAGTTTCTATATGTCTACAGTTGTTCCTCTTTATCTGCAGGGCATATGTTCCAAAACCCCCAGTGGATGCCTAAAACCATGGGTAGCACTGTAGCCTATACATACTGTTTTTCCTGTATGTACATACCTAAGATAAAGTTTATAAATTAAGCATAGTAAGAGATTAACAACCAATAATAAAGTAGAACAATTATATCAATACACTGCCAGGCACGGTGGCTCATGCCTGTAATCCCAGCACTTTAGGAGGCTGTGGTGGGAGGATCGCTTTTTTTTGTTTTCTTGAGATGGAGTTTTGCTCTTGTTGCCCAGGCTGGAGTGCAGTGGCTCAGTCTCGGCTCACTGCAACCTGTGTCTCCCGGGTTCAAGCGATTCTCCTGCCTCAGCCTCCCGAGTAGCTGAGATTACTGGCATGTACCACCATATGCCGCTAATTTTGTATTTTTAGTAGAGATGGAGTTTTTCCATGTTGGTCAGGCTGGTCTTGAACTCCCAACCTCAAGTGATCCACCCTCCTTGGCCTCCCAAAGTGATGAGATTACAGGTGTGAGCCACCGTGCCCAGCCTTTATTTTTTATTTTTTTAAGATGGAGTCTTGCTTTGTTGCCTAGGCTGGAGTGCAGTGGCATGATCTCAGCTCATGGGAGTGATTTCCCTGCCTCAGCCTCCCAAGTAGCTGAGATTACAGGCACATGCCATCACACCTAGCTAATTAAAAATATATATTTTTGGTAGAAACAGGATTTTACCAAAGCCCTGACCTCAAGTGATCTGCCTGCCTTGGCCTCCCACAATGGGAGGCTGGGATTACAGGCATGAGCCACTGCACCGGGCCTGTAGCTAATAATTACTAGCATTCACACTATGCCAGTCACTGTGCTATTATCACTCCTATAATTATTATGAGAAAACCAAGATTTAAAGAAATGATCCAGCCCACAAGCGATGAGCCCGTTTTCGAGCCCGTTTTCAAACCCGGCAGCCCCACCTCAGGGGCTGATCCGTCTAAACACCGTGACGGATTTGACATCCTCAGTTTAGGGACTGGCTGTGGTCTCCAGGCAGCCCTGGGGTGCGGGAGGGGATGTGGTTGGCTCTGGGGCTGGGTACTTACAGGTCAAACACCAAGAAGAAGAAAGTGTTGGTCTCATAAGTGTCCTTCAGCTGTACTGAAATGGAAATGACTAGCTGGTCTCAGGTAGCAGGGGAGCCCGGACACGGGGAGAGGGCCAAGGCTGCTGTGGGCTGACTTCAGAAGCTGACAGGGGAATCAGGAGGGTGCCCGAAGGACCCCAACCAGGGGTGTGGGCAGGCCCTGGGGCTTTATTATCACTGTTAATATTTTTAGAGACAGGGCCTCACCCAGGCTGGAGTGTAATGGTGCGGTCATAGCTCACTGCAGCCTCAAACTCCCGGGCTCCAGTGATGCTCCTGCCTGAGCCTCCCGAGTGGCTGGGATCACGGGTGTGCACCACCACGCCTGGCTAACTCAGCCCGGGGACATTGAACTCCCTTTCCCGCACCTGCATCCATCCCTGCCTGGGACCCCTCCTGTCGCAGCAGTGAGGGTGGAACTGGGAACCTTAAGCCTGGGTGGTTCTAGCTGGCTGTGCAGTGGGGCCACGCTACCTGGCTCAGGCTGTCAGGGCAGAATCACAGGGGGCCACCCCCACTCTGTGGCTTGGGGCCATCACTCACTGATGTTGGGGTGCCCTGAGACCTTCCGCAGGATGTCCACCTCCTTCAGCGTGGCTTCCCGCAGCTCCCGCACCTCCTCGGGGCTGAAGCTGCCTCCACCGGTGACGTCGATGACCTTCACAGCGTATTCCTGGTTCGTGGGCTTGTGGATGCAGCGCCTGACCACACTGCTAACGCCCCTGGGAGTGCAGAGGACAGATGGCCTTGGGGGCCCCTCACCCCACCGGAGATTCGAGGCCGCAGCCAGGATGCCCTTGTCAATGGATTTACACTCCCCCAACTTCCTCTGAGCTTTTGGGTATGGTGGATGAATAAAGGCACCGACGGTGATTTGCCCAGAGCTGATGAGTAACAAGCCTACTCTCAGGCCATTTGACTCCTAGTTCAGTGCTTTTTTTTTTTTTTTTTTTTGAGACGGAGTTTCGCTCTTGTTACCCAGGCTGGAGTGCAATGGCGCGATCTCGGCTCACCACAACCTCGGCCTCCTGGGTTCAGGCAATTCTCCTGCCTCAGCCTCCTGAGTAGCTGGGATTACAGGCACGTGCCACCATGCCCAGCTAATTTTTAGTCTTTTGTTTTTTTTGTTTTGTTTTGTTTTTTTTTGAGACGGAGTTTCGCTCTTGTTACCCAGGCTGGAGTGCAATGGCACGATCTCGGCTCACCGCAACCTCCGCCTCCTGGGTTCAGGCAATTCTCCTGCCTCAGCCTCCTGAGTAGCTGGGATTACAGGCACGTGCCACCATGCCCAGCTAATTTTTAGTCTTTTGTTTTTTTTGTTTTGTTTTGTTTTTTTTTGAGACGGAGTTTCGCTCTTGTTACCCAGGCTGGAGTGCAATGGCACGATCTCGGCTCACCGCAACCTCCGCCTCCTGGGTTCAGGCAATTCTCCTGCCTCAGCCTCCCGAGTAGCTGGGACTACAGGCGTGCACCACCATGCCCGGCTAATTTTTGTATTTTTAGTAGAGACGGGGTTTCACCTTGCTGACCAAGATAGTCTCGATCTCTTGACCTTGTGATCCACCCGCTTCGGCCTCCCAAAGTGCTGGGATTACAGGTGTGAGCCACCGCGCCTGGCATTTTTTTTTTTTTTTTTTTTACATAGATTCTTGTTTTGTCGCCCAGGCTGGAGTGCAGTGGTGCGAGCTTGGCTCACTGCAATCTCCACTTCCTGGGTTCAAGAAATTCTCTACCTCAGCCTTCCAAGTAGCTGGGATTACAGCCATGAGCCATCACACCCAGCTTTTTTTTTTTTTTTTTTTAAGATGGTTTCTCACTCTGTAGCCCAGGCTGGAGTGCAGTGGCATGATCCTGGCTTCTGTCTCAGCCTCCCGAGTAGCTGGGACTACAGGTGCCCACCATCATATGCAGCTAACTTTTATATTTTTAGTAGAGATGGTGTTTCAACACGTCCAGGCTGGTCTCAAACTCCTGACCTCAGGTGATCTGCCCACCTTGGCCTCCCAAAGTGCTGGGACTACAAGTGTGAGCCACCTTGCCCGGCCCTAGTTCAGTGCTCTTGCTCAACATATGGAAAGAAAGAAGCCCTACACTCAGCGCTGTAATCTTCCCTCTATTCCTGATTCCTGATTCTGGTCAAAGCTGGGCTTAGATGTGCTTGTTAACAACACCTAAGAACTGTGTGTGTGTGTGTGTGTATGTGATAGGGCCTCTAGGGTCTTGCTCTGTTGCACAGGCTGAGTGCAATGATATGATCACGGCTCACTGCAGCCTCAACTCCCCAGGGCTGAAGCAGTCCTGCCACCTGTGCCTCTTGAGTAGCTGGCCTGCAGATGCACGTCACCATATCTGGCTAACTCTTTATTTTTTGTAGAGACGAGGTCCCGCTCTGTTGCCCAGGCTGATACTGAATTCCTGGGTGCAGGCCCTCCACCCGCCTCGGCCTCCCGCAGTGCTGGGATCACAGGCGTGGGCCACTGGGCCTGGCTGCTGTTTTTTCTTTTTCTTTTTTTTTTTTGAGACGGAGTTTCGCTCTTGTTACCCAGGCTGGAGTGCAATGGTGCGATCTCAGCTCACCGCAACCTCCGCCTCCTGGGTTCAAGCAATTCTCCTGCCTCAGCCTCCTGAGTAGCTGGGATTACAGGCACGCGCCACCATGCCCAGCCAATTTTTTGTATTTTTAGTAGAGACGGGGTTTCACCATGTTGACCAGGATGGTCTCGATCTCTTGACCTCGTGATCCACCCGCCTCGGCCTCCCAAAGTGCTGGGATTACAGGTGTGGGCCACCGTGCCCGGCCTTTTTTTTTTTTTTTTTTTTTTTTTTTTTTTATAGAGATGGTTAGCTAGACGTGGTGGCACACACCTGTGGTCCCAGCTACTAGGGAGGCAGAGGTGGGAGGATCACTTGAACCTAGGAGGCAGAGACTAGTCAGCCAAGATCATAGCACTGTACTCAAACCTGGACAACGGGGCAAGACCTTGTCTAAACAAAAAAAAAGACATGGGGTTTTGCTATGTTGCCTAGGCTGACCTTGAATTCCTGGCCTCAAGCAATCCTCCCACTTCAGCCTCCCAAAATGCTGGAATTAGGTGTGAGCCACTGTACCTGCCCCTGGGAACTTTTTACTGGGAGAGGTTTCTCTTATCTTTCCTGGCTTCAGGATGGCAGGACCCCAAACCAAGGGTTTCTCCAAGTGGACAGCACTTTGGGGATGCAAGTGGGGTCAGTCCTTGCGGTGGAGCAGAGGACAGCACTTCATAGGGAGAGCGCGGACCTTACCTGCCCAGTATCTCCTTGGGCTCGTAATTCTCATAGAAGTCCTGTGCGGAATGAGAGTCCGGCAGTGCCTCATCCCGGGTCATGCTCAGATGCTCAGCGGGGGGACTCTGGGCGACTCTGAGAGGGGAGCAGAAAGAAGCTGTCAGTGCTCCTAACCCAGGGGGGTGTTCTCCTTGGGGCCTGGAACTGTTTCTCACTCATCCTTAAATCTCCTGGCACCAGACTGGCCTATAGTGAATGTTCCAAATAAACGTTTGTGAATTGAGATCGGGTGCGGTGGCTCAGGCCTGTAATCTCGGCACTTTAGGAGGCTGAGGCAGACAGATGACTTGAGGCCACGAGTTCGAGACCAGCCTGGCCAACATGATGAAACCCCATCTCTGCTAGAAATACAAAGATTAGCTGGGCATGGTGGCACACGGTTGTAGTCCCAGCTACTCGGGAGGCTGAGGCAGGAGAATCGCTTGAACCTGGGAGGCGGAGGTTGCAGTCAGCTGAGATCGTACCATTGTACTCCAGCCTGGGTGAAATGAGACTCCAGCTCAAACAGACAAACAAACGAACCTCTTTGTAGAGATGGGGTCTCACTCTGTTACCCAGGCTGGAGTGCAGTGGTACGATCTCAGCTCACTGCAACCTCCGCCTCCCAGGTTCAAGCGATTCTCCTGCCTCAGCCTCCCGAGTAGCTGGAATTACAGGCACCTGCCACCGCACCCGGCTAATTTTTTACATTTTTATTAGAGACAGCGTTTCACCTTGTTGACCAGGCTGGTCTTGAACTCCTGACTGCAGGTGATCTGCCCGCCTCAGTTTCCCAAAGTGTTGGGATTACAGATGTGAGTACCATGCCCGGCCCTAATATTTAAGATTTTTGTAGAGACAGGGTCTCCCTATGTTGCCCAGGCTGGTTTCAAACTCCTGGCCTCAAGCAGTCTTCCCGCCTCAGCCTCCTAAAGAGCTGGGATTATAGGCGTGAGCCACCACTACACCTGGTCACAGTTTCCAGGCTGGAGTGATCTCGGCTCACTGCAACCTCCGCCTCCTGGGTTCAGGCAATTCTCCTGCCTCAGCCTCCTGAGTAGCTGGGACTACAGGCACGCACAACCATGCCTGGCTAATTTTTGTATTTTTAGTAGAGACGGGGTTTCAACATGTTGGCCAGGCTGGTCTAATTCCTGACCTCAAATGATCCACCCACCTTGGCCTCCCAAAGTGCTGGGAATACAGGCGTAAGCCACTGCACCCAACCCTTTCTCATGTATTCTGTCCGTAACTGGGATTTTCATAATCACTCACTCATTTATTCCATCTTCATTCTGCAGATACCAACACCCACTCTTTGCCAACCACCATGCCGGGTGCTCTAAGGGATGGAGAGCTGGGTGGGTCTGTCCTGGTCCCTGCCTCTGGTGTCACTTGTCAGTGTGTGTCATCTAGATGGTCATCTCTAGGGTGTCCTAGTCATCTCTGCTCCCTGTGTCCAGTGCAGGTGTCCAGCTGGTGCTATTTTTTGAATGTGAGTCAGCGGTTGGGCAGGTACCCTTTGGCTCAGGGTCCTGCCAGCAAAATGCCCCACGTCCTACCTAACAATGGCCAGTGAGCCCTGAGTGGACCTGCTGCAGTGTGGAGCCAGTACAGAGCCAGGACACCCCGGCTTGGACATCGAGGCACTGAGCTACCCCACCTTGCTTTGGGAACATGGAAGCTCCTGCCAGGAAACTCAATTCCTGTTTCAGATGTAGGATTTGGGCCTGGCGTGGTGGCTCACACCTGTCATCCCAGCACTTTGGGAAGCTGAGGTGGGCAGATCACTTGAGGTCAGGAGTTCGAGAGCAGCCTGGGCTACAAAGAGAAACCCCATCTCAACAAAAATAGAAAAATTAGCCAGGTGTGATGGCTCTTGGATCAGGAGGATCACTTGAACCCAGGAGGTGGAGGTTGCAGTGAACTGGGATTGCACCACTGCACTCCAGCCTGGGTGAGAGAGCGAGACTCAAGCAAAACAAAATGAGATGCAGGATTTGAGGAATGCAGAAGATCATCTACCAACAGGGAAAAGGGCAGGTGGAAAACAGGCCCAAGCTGCCACGCAGCAGCCGCCTTTACCCCACTGCTTCTAGGCCTAAGGAGGCCTGGCCTCTCAGAGGAGCCAGTTTGCTGAGCAGCCCAGCAGGAGCTCTGGCTGCCTCCAGGACTGGGCGGGCTGTTCCAGGAATCCTGGTGGCCCCACTACTGGGTGCCTGGTTACCAGAGGAAGGTTTAGAATAACAAGTCCCCTCTCCCAGTGCCAGGCATCTGGGCTGCCGCACACACAGGCCTCTGCCTGCCCGTCAGCAACCTGATGAAGCCCGGGAGTGTCTTGTTTCCCATAAAAACAAGCCCATTTGCTGGCAGGTCCCGAGTCCTTGCCATGGGCATCTGTGCCTTATTACCTCCCAAAGCTGGGTAGTGCCAGCTGTCTCCTCTTCCCTGAGCCTCCATGAGCAGCAAGTACATTGGACCCTCTATGAGATGGCAGCCTAGGCCCCGCACAGCAGCCTGGCCAAGCTGTGGCTGCAGTCACTGGTTATCTTGCCCCACCCCCCAGCTCTGACTGGGGCCTCTCTACTGCCCCACTCACCCCTCACACCTTTCCCGAGACCCCTGTGGACAGGGTCCCCACATGGGAGCAGCTGGCCCAGGCCGGACTGCAGTGGCGAGATCTCAGCTCACTGTAACCTCCACCTCGCAGGTTTGTCATTGTCCTGCCTCAGCCTCCGGCATCGCTGGGACTACAGGCACGAGCCACCATCCCAGCTAATGCTTGTAGTTTTGGTAGAGGCAGGGTTTCACCATGTTGGCCAGGCTGGTCTCGAGCTCCTGACTTTAAGTGAGCCTCCCGCCTCGCCCTCCCACACCCGGCTGGCTTGGTCCTTTTTGGTGTGTAACTTCCCTCCCCTGAACTCTGAAAGTCCAAAAACCAGATCACCCCAGGGACCACTTTTCTGTAGGAAAGTCCCCCAGATGGGGGTTTCAGGGGTCGATGCTGCCACTCTCCTGGGTCTGTGCCTTCAGAAAGGAGAAATGGATGGAACAGATGTGGGGCCTTCCATCTTCTCCATCCCCAGGCCTCTCCATTCCCTGCCTGTCACCTGACCTTTGTCCATCACCGGCCTAACTACTCACCGTTAAGTCCTTGCAGGCTCTTGAAGGAGCTTGACAAGTATCCCAAAGGCCTCAGGGCCCCTGGGGAGAGGGGACCACCGAGGGCTGAAGCCGTGTCCTGAGCAGACACTTGGAAGATATCGTGCTGCTCCTGTTTTGGGTTTTGCTATTTGATGACCAGAGGCTGACGTACCAAAAATAAATCACCACTGCAAACCCGGGAGGCAGGCCAAGGCCTGCAGGGACAGGGAGCAGGGCTGGGTCTCACTGCGGGGACCTCTGCTGGAGGGTGCGGGAAGCTCGGCGGCCTGAGAGCAGGCCGACAGCACGTGGTGATCAGTTTTCCCTCTGCAGCTCCCTTGGCTTCCAGGCCCAGGGAACAGAAAGCCAACCTTGTGGGGAATGCACAAGTGATTTTGATTTCCGTGTCTGCTGAGAGCAAGGCCCTGGAGGATTTCTCGGCGCACCACTGCAGCAGCTGACTGTCCCGGCTGCCACAGGGACATCTGGGGACAGTGTGCACGGTTACCCTACATAATGCAGATCCGTACAGGTTAGGAACGCCTGGCGCAGTGGCTCATGCCTGTAGTCCCGGTGCTTTGGGAGACTGAGGCAGGAGGATTGTTTACGTCCAGGAGTTTGACGCCAGCCTGGGCAACAAAGTGAGACCCTGGCTCTACAAAAATTTAAAAATTAGTCAGATATGTGTGCCTGGGAGGTTGAGGCTTCAGTGAGCTATGATTATTCCACTGTATTCCATGCTGGGCAACAGAGCCTGTCTCAAAATAAATAAATAAATAAAAGGCTGGGCGCGGTGGCTTACGTCTGTAATCCTAGCATTTTGGGAGGCCGAGGTGGGTGAATCATCAGGTCAGGAGCTCGAAACCAGCCTGACCAATATAGTGAAACCCTCGCTCTACTAAAAATATTTTAAAAATTAGCCGAGCACGGTAGTGGGCGCCTGTAATCCCAGCTACTCGGGAGGCTGATGCAGGAGAATCACTGGTCCCTAGGCATTGCACTTCAGCCTGGGTGACAGAGCAAGACTGCATCTCAAAATTAAAAGAAAACTAGAGCTCTTCCCTTTGAGGGATCTACCTCTCATCTAACCTCCATAGCTTCATCTCAGAAAACCTTCCTTTAATCTTACATCAGATGTGTGAGTTTTTTAAAAATGTTTATGTATTCTATTATTTTTTTGTAACGGAGCCTGGCTCTGTTGCCCGGGTTGGCGTGCAATGCTCAGGTTCAAGCGCTCCTCCCGCCTCGGCCTCCCGAGTAGCTGGGATGACAGGCGCCTGCCACCACGCCCAGCTAATGCTTGTATTTTTGTCAGAGACAGGGTGTTGCCATGTTGGCCAGGCTGGTCATGAACTCGTGACCTCAAGCGATCCGCCCGCCTCGGCCTCCCGAAGCGCTGGGATGACAGGCGTGAGCCGCCGCGCCCGGCACTTATTTTTGCGAGTTCCGGTCGGGCAGAGAGCCGGCCCTGGGCCCTGCGGGCCACGCGGCCGGGGCCGGCGAGTGAGCCGGGGGCCCGGGACACCGGAGGCCTCCGCCGCGGCTGCCTCGGGCCGGGCCCGCGCCTTGAAGCCGCGGCCAGCGTCTCTACCCCGCCCCACTTCGGTGGCTGATGGCGGCGGCGGCGGCTTCTCCCGGCCGGCACCACGCCCGGACCGCGGACCCCAGCGCGCGGGCCTCGCCCGAGCCCCAGCCGGGCCGCCCGGATGCAGCGCCCCTGCGCGGCGGAAGTGGGGGCCAGGAAGCATGGCGGCCGCTGGAGGGCCGCGCGGCGGAAGTGGGGGCCACCGGGAAGCATGGCGGCCGCTGGAGGGCCGCGCGGCGGAAGTGGGGGCCAGGAAGCATGGCGGCCGCTCGAGGGCCGCGCGGCGGAAGTGGGGGCCACCGGGAAGCATGGCGGCCGCTGGAGGGCCGCGCGGCGGAAGTGGGGGCCAGGAAGTATGGCGGCCGCTCGAGGGCCGCGCGGCGGAAGTGGGGGCCGCCGGGAAGCATGGCGGCCGCTGGAGGGCCGCGCGGCGGAGCCGGTAGGTCTCGGAGGGCCTGGGAGGGCGGCCTGAGGACGCAGGCGGGCTCGGCCGCCTCTGGACCACGAAGCCGTGCGGGTCCGGGTCCCCGCTGGGCGGGCCCTACCTAGTCCTGACGGCGGACAGAGGCCTTCACAGGCCCGGAGGGGAGCGAAGGTCCCGGCGCGGCGGGGGCGCGGCCAGCGGCCGTCGGGCCGCGTTCATCCCTGCAGACCTGGCTGCCGGGCACAGAGCCGGGGAAGGACGGGCCGCGTGGGGAAGGTCGCTGGCCGCGCGCAAGGCCTGTGTGTGTCATGGGGAAAAGCTGCTCTCAACTGCACCCCAACCTTTTTCCCTTTTTGTTATTTTTTTCTTTTCTTTTCTTTTGTTTTTTTTTTGAGGCGGAGTTTCGCTCTTGTTACCCAGGCTGGAGTGCAATGGCGCGATCTCGGCTCACTGCAACCTCCGCCTCCTGGGTTCAGGCAATTCTCCTGCCTCAGCCTCCTGAGTAGCTGGGACTACAGGCACGCGCCACCATGCCCAGCTAATTTTTTGTATTTTTAGTAGAGACGGGGTTTCACCATGTTGACCAGGATGGTCTCGATCTCTCGACCTCGTGATCCACCCGCCTCGGCCTCCCAAAGTGCTGGGATTACAGGCTTGAGCCACCGCGCCCGGCCCTATTTTTTTCTTTTTTTTCGCCTTCAGCTGTCTTGATAAGAGTTACACACCCCAGCTTTTTAATAGAAAACGTTTGTCACCTCTAGCCCTTCTAGGTGTAAAGAGGTTGCCAATGTATGATAAAGTAGAGTTAGAAAACCACACATCTTGTAAATTCTCATTTGTTTAAAAGAAATCATAGAAAATACATGACCCCTGGACTCGATGACTTTTGGAAATGGAGCTGTTAGGTGGCCTCTGGAAGCGGTAGTCCACGTGTGTTCAGTGGGCTACATGACATGGAGTTGGAAGACACGAGGAGGAGGAGAAGGTTCTCCGCTAGACTGGTCGTACTGAGAAGACATTTTCGTATTCTGGCCGTTGTTTTGTGTGCATTTTATTCCTCACTACTGTATATATAGTTGACAGTGCTAAACTTTTTTGCAACATCTGTTCTTTTTAGATGTTCTGAAGTGCCTGATAGATGTTAAAATTAGAGGTAGTAAAATCACATTTTGTAAATATCTTTTTGTTAACAATTTGTAGGAAATGTTTTTGGGGGGAATGGCCAAATCACCTGTTGAGTAATACTGTGTGTGCAGCGGTTCAGGGGAGGAGGGAAGAGGGGGAGGTGCAGACGGTTCTGTGCTACCCTGCTTACAGCAAGGCCAGATGAATTATTATCTCTGCATTTTGTTTTACTTACCTGTGCATATAGTGCACATAAAGGACAAACGAGTCCTAACTTTAACATCTAGTCTTTCTAGATGTTAAAGAGGTTGCCACTGTATGACAGAAGTAGGGTTAGTAACCTAATGTTTTGTACATTGTGTTTTACAAGTCTAGGAAAGATTGTCTTCTGAAAATTTGAGCGTTCTTGCCCACTGGGCTGATGGAGATAGGAAGGGTTCTAGGCCAGAATGTTCACACTTGGAAGGCTCTTTCAAATTATAACTGTTGTTACATGTTTGCAGTTTATTCAAGACTGCTGTGTACATAGTGGACAAACTAACTCCTAATCTAGGTGTTTAGAAGTGTCTGATGTATGTTAAATATAGAGATAGTAAAATACCACTTCGTATGTATCTTTTTTGCTAAAATTCATAGGAAGTACTTTTGGAAATTGAATCGTGAAGCCACCTTTGTGAGCCATACAGTACTGTCTATACTCGTTCAGTGGTTCAGAGGAGGTGAGAGGGAAGAAATTGCAAAAGGTAATATTCTAGTGTGTTCACACTTGGACATTTCAGACACTGTTTTTCTGTAGGTTTTGTGCATTTTCTTTTGCTTTGTACATAGTGTATATAATGGACAATGAGTCCTAATTTTTCAGCATCTAGTCTCTAGATGTTAAAGAGGTTGGCAGTGTATGACCAAGTAGTAAATCAGCATATCGTGTTCCCTTTGTGAAGAAATTCGTAGGAAAACTTGTCTTCCGTAAACGACTTTTGCATTGGAATTTGTTCAGTCATCTCTGCGCATTACACGTGCCTGTACCTGTCCCCTGGATCGAAGGCAGAGAAGAAAGAGAGGAGGGAATGATTCAAGGCCAAATGGTCACAGTTAGACGGTACCTCAGATGATAACCATCGTTATGTGTATGCAATTTTAGTTAACAGGGCTGTGTACGTGGTGGACAAGTTATATGAAATATCTAGTCTTTCTAGATATTTGGAAGTGCTCGGTGTATTTAAAAGTAGTAGTAGAATAATACTTTTTGTAAATAGGTTTAAAAAAGTGACGGGAAATGCTGTTGGGAAGTGGAATTGTGGAACTACCTGGGAGGTGGGAGGGAAGAAATTGTAAAAGGTGTTTTGCCATTGTTTATTAGAAAAGTTCAGCTTAGTCCATTGCCTATATGTTACATGCATTTCCTTTAACTTTGCTATTTATACTGTATATATTATGTATGTACTGGACAAATGGGTCCCAATTTTATAATATCTAGTCTCTAGATATTAAACAGGTTGCCAATGTATGACAGAAGTAAACTAACACATCCTGTACACTTGGTTAAAATTCATAGAAAGCCTGTCTTCTGAGAAAGACTTTCGGAAGTGAAGTAACATCAGCTGTAAGTGACACATGTGCCTATATCCACCAGGTTGGTGGTTGTGAAGAGTTCTAGACCAGAATGTTTCCATCTAGAAGACACTTTTAGGTATAACCATTGTTACATGTGTGTAGTTTATTCAGCACGGCTGTGTATATAGTGGACAAACTTAAGTCCTAATTTGAAATATCTAGTCTTTCTAGATGTTTAGAAGTGCACAAAGTATGTTAAAAGTAGAGGTAGTAAATAACAAACACATTTTGTAGCTATCCTTTTGATATATCCTCTTTTGGAAATTGATCAATTCTCTGAGCAGTGCATTACGGTATTTCTGCAGGTTCCGGGAGGAGGAGGAGTGTAAAGAGCTTACCACCAGTGTTTTGTTTTGTTTTGTTTTGTTTTGAGACAGAGTCTCACTCTGTCACCCAGGCTGGAGTGCAATGGTATGATCTCGGCTCACTGCAACCTCCACCTACCAGGTTCAAGCGATTCTCCTGCCTCAGCCTCCTGCGTAGCTGGGATTAGAGGTGCGTGCCACCGCGCCCAGCTAATTTTTGTATTTTTTTAGTAGAGACGGGGTTTCAACATTTTGGCCAGGCTGGTCTCGAACTCCTGAACTTGTGATCCACCCGCCTCGGCCTCCCAAAGTGCTGGGATTACAGGCATGAGCCACCGCGCCTGGCCTCCACTAGTGTGTTTATGATTAGGCACATTGATCATTGTCCCTTATGTCTGCATTTTCATTAACTGTGCTGTGTATATAGTGTATATAAGCGGACATAAGAGTCCTAATTTACAGCTAGTCGATGTTAAACAGGTTGCCAGTGTATTACAGAAGTAGAGTTAGTAAATTCAATACATTGAGTATACCTTGTGTTAAAAATCATAGGGAAGACTTCTTAAAAACAGAAGTGACATTGTTAAAGTCCCCCCTAAGCTGTCCATGGGGTTGACAGAGGTCGGAAAGGGAAGTAGGTTCTAGGCTAGAATGTTCGTGTTTAGAAGACACTCAAATTACAGTCTGTGTTATGTATAACACTATTCATTCAATGCTACTGTGTACATAATGGAAAACCTGAGTCCAGTTGGAAATATCTAGTCTTTCTAGGTGTTTAAAAGTGCTTGACATAGGTTAAAAATAGAGGGCTAAAGTAACACCCCACTAAGCATTTGTTTTCATTACTTCCTTAGGAGTGGTTGGTTGCATTTGGGAATGGAGTTGTTAAAATTTGATGTGTAGGAGCCTATGCTGACTATTCATTGGCTGGTGATGGGTTGGGGAGGAGGAGGTTTGCAGGGAGAAGGGTTCTTTGTCCTTGAGATTAGTTCAGCTGGTCTAACCATTGTTCTGTACGTGCATTTTAGTTAATATTATGTATTAAAGGACAAACAAGTCAATGCTCAGAGTATGTTAAAAATAGATATAGTAAGTCAGTCCCTTTACGCATGTCCTTTTGTTAGGTTTTAAGGAGGCCTGTCTTCTGGGAGTGACCTTTATTATTAGTTCACCTCTTGGAGCCAGACATCCTATACTTAGTCACTGGGGATGGTGGAAGACGGAGAAGACAGGGTGAAGGGAGGGGCTCTTTGCTAGTATCTCCATATCTAGAAGATGGTTTTAGATGATAACCCCAGGTCTGTATGAGTGTTTGTAGTAAAGTGCCTGTGTTTATTGTGGACAAAGTTCATTATACTGCAACGTCTAAGCTTTATGAATGTCTGGGGTGACAACATAGAGCTAATGAATTAGCCACTTTGTAAATACCATTCTAGTAATTGACAAAAAAGATGCATCTTGGATACGGAATTGTTAAATCACCTCTGAGCAGCGTATGTCAGGACTTGTTCATTAGTTGGCAGCGGAGGGGCAGAAGGAGCTATAAAGGGAGAGATGTATGCAGATGTGTCCATATTTACGTTTTGAAGACAGCCATTAATGTATGCATCTCTTGTGGCTGTACTATAGAAATATATTAAATAATTCCATGGAAATATACCTTGCTAATATTTAATGGTATAGATCTGCTAATGAGCTCTCTTAGAAGCATTGTACTTATTCTGTTGCTGTATGCTTCATTTTAAATTGAGTATTAAGGGAATGCAGTATTTAAATCAGAACTCTGCCAATGCTTTTATCTAGAGGCGTATTGCCATTTTTGTCGTCTATCAAGTTTTTGTCCCAAGAAAGACAGGATTACATCTTTTTTTAAAACAGACTGAGTTGGTGTACTGTATTCTTGGTTATCAAAATGCTGATTGCTTTGGGATTTTGAATTGGTAGATATTCATGGTGTGTGAAAGATCATGATACATACTATACAGTCTCAGTCCCACAAAATTGGATGTTGTGCCTATGGACACACAGGACCTAGGAGAATGTGTCAAACTCTAAACGGCTTGTCATTGTGACTTTGTTCTTGTGTTTTTCAGTTTCCTCTAATGTACCTAACTTCTTAAAAGTAAAGGTTATTTTAAAAACATCTATTGCTGGGTGTGGTGGCGCGTGCCTGTAGTCTCAGCTACTCGGGAGGCTGAGGTGGGAGGATCGCTTGAGCCTGGGAGTTCTGGGCTGTAGTGTGCTATTCCAATTGGGTGTCCGCAGTAAGTTCGGCCTCAGTATGGTGACCTCCTGGGAATGGGGGACCACTAGGCTGCCTAAGGAGAGGCGAACCGGCCCAGGTTGGAAATGGAGCAGAACAAAGTAAGGTGGGCGGAACAAGCTTGCGGGGAAACAGTAGGGGAATAGGTAACTCACCCCAAACAGGCTTATTCCTGTTCCTTTATCCTTCACTTGATTTAAACAATGTATTTTTGAGACAGAATCTTACTGTCACCCAGGCTGGAGTGCAGTGGCATGAACTCAACTCACTGCAACCTCCATCTTTCAGTTTCAAGCAATTCTCCTGCCTCAGCCTCCCAAGTAGTTGGGATTACAGGCAGGCGCCATCACGCCTGGCTTACAACAGTATTTTAAGCAGAGTTTCCTGCTACTGATCAGCTTGCTTAACTCCAGGCCCACAGGACCGGGACCCTTGAATCGAGCAGTATGTTTCTGAGTGAGCCACTCCTTACATGATCCCTCAGGGCAGCTCTCAGAGCTGGGTAGATGCTAATTTCATAACCAGAGGATACAGACTAGATGAATCACATCTTGGAAGAGAATCACTTTATTCTAATTAACTCACAAAAAATAAAATCATAACAGCTAGTTTAAGGAGGCCACACAAACATCTGACCAGCTCCAAATTCTACAGAGTAGCAACACCCACTTCCATTTCAATTCTGAAGCAAGGAAGCTAGGAATGGCAGGAGAGGTTTAACTGATGGCTACACTTTACACCTTCACTATTAATTAAATTTTTATATTAGGTTGGTTATGAGAGCTGGTTTTCCGTTTCTCTAGTTTGAACTTCTTGATTAGGCCAATCCTGCAAAGAGAAAAAATAAGTTAGAAGAGTGCTAGCTTCATACACTCAACAAAACAGAAGCCTTCCAAATCATGAAAGCAGAGAGAAGCCAAGGGTATAGCTTTTTTTTTTTTTTTTTTTAATAAAAAATAGAGATGGAGTCCTGCTATGTTGCCCAGGCTGGTATCAAACTCCTGGGCTCAAGCAATCGTCCCACCTTGGCCTCCCAGAGTGCTAAGTGATTGAAGGCATCCTGCAACTAACAAGACACCCTAAATCTCAAGAGTTCCCCTGAGGAACTTAATAAACTCCTTTAACTCAATGAGGTCTATTCCTAGATTTTGGTAAAAACAGAATCTAATTTTATATTCACGGCCTTAAGGCGAGGAGGTCACTCTCATCCAGTAATCACAGTAAGACCTGGCATGCTGATTTACACCTTCTCCTTCTTCATTTTTTTTTTTTTTTTAATTTGGGACAGAGCCTTGCTCTGTCACCCAGGCTGGAGTGCAGTGGCGGGATCCTGGCTCACTGCAGCTTCTGCCTGCCAGGTTCAAGGGATTCTCCTGCCTCAGCCTTCCAAGTAGCTGAGATTATGGGCACCCACCACCACACCCAGGTAATTTTTTGTATTTTTAGTAGAGATGGGTTTTGCCATGTTGGCCAGGCTGGTCTCAGACTCCCAACCTCAGGTGATCCACCCACGTGCTGGGATCACAAACATGAGCCATCACGCCTGGCCTATACCTTCTGAAGGTAGAAGAAAATTCAGATAATGACTCATAAAAACGACTAGAAAACTCTGGCCCAGTTGTTAGGAGTTAATCCTAGAGAAATACCAACAAAGTCTTCTCCAAACTTATCAATTTAATTTATTAAACACAGATTCCCCTAAGTTCTTCAGGATCCAGGAATACCACTGTGAATTAAGCAGATGCAAATTGGACAAATCACCTACCGTTTGCAAGTCGGCACTGTTTCAGCACCTCACTGAAACCCTCACAGAGCTTGAGGTCACCCTGGTTCTGGGCACACTCCAAGAACTGTTTGATCTCATAGAAGCAAGGCTGCTGCTGCTGTGCCGGCTGGCTTCCCTGAGGCTCCTGTGAAGGCAAAACATTCATTATTGCTAAGAAAGAAAATCATATTTATGCCTACACAATGAAGAATATATCCTCTTTGAGGTTAAAAGGAAATGGAACTAGCACCAGATGCAAATTAAAGCTTCCATCTATTAACATGGAAAGTGAAAACATTTCAATCTTTAAAAAATATTTTAGGCCGAGTGTGGTGGCTCACACCTGTAATCTCAGCACTTTGGGAGGCTGAGGAGGGTAAATCACTTGAGGTCAGGAGTTTGACACTAGCCTGGCCAACGTAGTGAAACCCCGCCTGTACTAAAAATACAAAAATTAGCTGGGCATGGCAGGGCATGTCTGTAATCCCAACTACTCAGGAGGCTGAGGCAGAATTGCGTGAACTTGGGAGGTGAAGGCTGCAGTGAGTTGAGATCGTGCCACTGCACTCCAGCCTGGCCGAAAAAGCAAGACTCCATCTCAAAAAAAAAAAAAAAAAAAAGAAAAATTTAAATAAATATTTTTAGTAGAGACAGGGTCTCACTATGTTGCCCAGCCTGGTCTCAAACTTCTGGGCTCAAATGATCCCCTCACTTCAGCCTCCTGAAGTGGTGGGATTATAGGGATGAGACACCGTACCCAGCCAAAGGTGAAAATATTTAAAAGCAGAAAGCAAACAGCTTTAACAAAATTCCAATGACAACCAGAAAGATTCATAAAGATGCAAGTAAAGTGGAAATGTTATCCTGGTATCAAGACTAAATGGTTCAGTGATGCTTTGGGGAGGAAAAATGGCAACTATTACAGAAAAACGGACGAGGAGTTTCAAGCGCACCAGAACTAGCAGAGTACACACGCTTCTGCTCATTACACGAGAAAACCCATACATATCAGAAAGACAGGTGATGGCAAGTACCAGGTAAAAGAGCATAGAGCTCTTTGAGATTTTTGACTCCTTAAAGACAGGATTGTAGGAAGTGACACTGAGATAATATTCAAAGGGAAAGCGGTTGTTTTACAGGGAGTCAGGCTGGACTGTGACGTCCACTCCTTGGGAAGAAATACAGTTTGTACAGTACCTGGTGCTGGCCTAAGGCAGTAGCTCAACAGCCAGATGTAGCTTTTGATAACCCATTGTCAACGGTGGGCTCTAAAATCCAACACAGTTCCTTCACACGAGGAACTTAGAAATGTCTGGTCTTTCTCATAAAATCCACCCATGGAAGGGAAATGCTGCCTAAATTCTCACCTGATAAGTGATGTCAGGCCTCGCAGGCTCAGGACCACTTCCTCCACTGAAGCCCCCAGTAATGGCGTGGCCCAGTGTGTGCCCCACAGCAGAGCCCACAGCCACGCCAGCTGCAGTGGTTGCCATCTGGGACAGCAGACCTGGCTGCCGGGGCGCAGCAGCAGGAGAGCCGACTGCAGAGGGGGGTGCCGCTGCTGGTGGCTGAGCGGGTGGTGCTGGCCTGGGCGCAGCTCTCATCTGAGGGGCCCGGCTGTGAAAGAAAAGAACAAAGCCTAAAAGTTCCCACTTCCAACCAGTTTTGGAAATTGTCAACTTAATAATAACTTATATATTAAAATAGACCTTTATTCACATCACTTTATCTCTTTTTTTTTTTTTTTTGTGACAGGGCCTCACTCTGATGCCCAGGCTGGAGTGCGGTGTCATGATCCCATCTCACTGCAACCTCTGCCCCGCTCCGGGTTCAAGCGTTTCTCCTGTGTCAGCCTCCCCAATAGCTGGGATTACCGGCATCTGCCACCACACCCAGCTAAGTTTGTATTTTTAGTAGAGACAGGGTTTCACCTTATTGGCCAGGTTGGTCTTGAACTCCTGACCTCATGTGATCCACCTGCCTCCCAATGCGTTGGGATTATAGATGTGAGCCACCGCACCCGGCCACTTTCATATTTTCTCATAATAGTAGTTGCCAAGGACAAACTATGTTTCCTGCTTCTTTGCAACCATTTCCATGTGTTAACATAGCCCACAGTATCTTTAAAGACATATCCAATATGTCCTGAGAAATATAGACTACTAAAAGATTCTTACAGAATTCATTCATTCAGATATTAGGTAACTACAAGGCGCTAGTAATATAACTAAGCAAGAGACAAAAATCTCTGCATTCATGGAGTTTACATTTTTTTTGAGGTATCAAATAATTAAAATAGGCTGCAGAGCTGTGGCTCTTGCCTGGAATCCCAGTGATTTGGGAAGTGGAGGCAAGAGGATCATTTGAGGCCAGGACTTTGAGATCACCAGGGCCACATAGTGAGACCCTGTCTCCACAAAAATACAGAACAGAATAAAGTTGCCAGGTGTGACCCACACCTGTCGTCCCAGCTACCCTGGAGGCTGAGGCGACGGAATAGCTCGCGGCAAGGTCGTCGTGGCTGCAGTCAGCCATGATTACGTCACTGCACTGAAGTCTGAGTGAGAGTGAGACTCTGATTCAAAATATAAATAAATAAAAATGTCATATTTTAAGTGTTACGGAGTATCAGAAGAATATGTCGTGAGATACCTATTTTAGGGTAATCAAGGAAGGTCTGGCTGAACCAGTAACATTCTAGTTAAGACCTAAAGATGGTCAACTGCGAAAAGCAGCTAGTCCAATTCGTCCGTTTTCACACGCTATAAAATGGGGCTGGCGAGTGACTCGTCCGAACCAGCACAGCAAAGCATTCCGCATCTGTACAGCGTTCAGATGCTTTCGGCCCTTTCACCGGGCCGGGACGACTCCTGTGGTCCGAGCACTTTGGGAGGCCGCGGCGGGAGGGTCTCCAGAGGCCAGGAGTTCGCAATCAGCCCGGGCGGCACGGGGAGGTCCCGCGTCCACAAAAACCAGCCGCGCGTGGCGGCGCGGGCCTGCGGTCGCAGCTGCTCGTGACGCCGAGGCCCGGGCTGCGGGGAGCCGGGACCGCGCCGCTGCACTGCAGCCTGGGCCACGGGGGAAGGCCCCGTCTCGAATCACGAAGGACACGATTTCACGAATGTCCTGCACTCACTTAGACACCTTCACGTGTCTCACGCTCCCTGCAGCCATTTCCGGATTAGTTCCCTGGGTGCCGCTGTCCCCAGATCAGGCTAGGTCCAAAGGCGAAGGCCTCCTACCGCGCGGCACCCGGCCGCCCCGCCCCGCCCCGCCCCGGCCGCCGCTCGGACGCGCAGCCTTCTCCTCGGGCGCGTGCCCTCCCCGCGCCGCCCCTCCCCGCGCGCCGCGCTCCGTCCACCTCCCCGGCCGCGGCGGGCCCCGTCGCAGTAGGCCTTGCTTCGCCCCCGCCCGCGCGCGGCCGCCGTCTGCGTCACGGCGCCAGTGGGGTCCGGACGCTCGCGCTCCGGCCTCAGACCCTGCGATGGTCTCACCTGGCCGGAGGGGCCATGCGGGAGGTGCGGCTTCGGCTTCCGCGCGGCATCCTGGCGACGGGGCTGCCCGGCCTTCAGACGTGCGAGTACCAGGGACGGGCGCAGCAGCTGCTGAGGGAGCCGGAAGGCGGGGGGCGGGGCCGGCCTCGGCGCGCAACCAATCAGCACACAGGCAGAGGACTTCCGTTCCCGAACGTCTCCGGGGCCCTGAAGGTCACTGAAGGAGCAGGACGTCACGAGGACGCCCAGCCCCCGCCTCGAGTTCCGATTGGCCCCGAGTGAGCCAGGGGCCTCTGACGTCACGGGAACGCTCCTGCGGCGACGTCCCAGGGGCGGGCCTCCGGCGGCCGGCGTCGCTCCCCGAGCGCGGTGCTGCGCTCCTGCCGGCGGAAGAGCGGCCGTGGACAGAGTCCGACCCGGCCCAGAGTTCACGTCGCTAGAAAACCGCCCGGGCGCGGTGGCGGAGGGAGCCCTTGCGGCCGGGAGTGCAGGAGCGGCCGGGGCAGCGTGGCGCGACCCCGTCTCCGGAGTCCCACCTGAGCCTCCCAGCTCCTGGAACCCCCGGGTTCAAGGCTGCAGTGAGCTGTGGCCCCGCCCCCGCACCCCAGCCTGCGAGACTCAGGTAAGCAAGCCCTGCCTAAAAAAATAAGCCATCCAACTGCGACGGCGGGGACTGCTTAAGGAAAACACGAGGCCGGGCCCGGGCGGGCGGCTCGTGCCTGTAATTCCAGCCCTTTGGGGGGCCGAGCGGGTGTCACACCTGCGCTCAGAGCTGGAGGCCGGCCTGACCGACGTGGCCAAGCCGTCCCTCCCAAAACACACGCGGGAGCTGGGCGACGCGGCGCGCCCCTGCAGTCCCGGCGACTGGGGAAGCTGCGGGAGGAGAATCTCTTGAACCCGGGAGGTTGCAGTGAGCTGAGCTCGAACCACTGCACCCCACCCTGGGCGGCAGACCGAGGCTCCAGAGTTTGAGACCAGCCTGGGCAATGTAGTGAAACCCTGTCTCTACAGAACAAACAAATAAAAAAGCCGGATTCTCCTGCCTCAGCCTCCTGAGTGACTGCGCACCTGTGGCCCCAGCTACTTAGGAAGCTGAGGCGGGAGGATCAGTCGGGGCCGGGAGCTCAAGGCTGCAGTGAGCTGTGAGCGTCCCACTGCTCTCCATCCTGAGCAATAGAATGAGACCTTGTTTCTAGATAGTTAACTGGCTAATTGATTCGTAGTTTCCTATCACAATTTTTTTCCCTAGATTTGAATACATTTTCTTCCCCCCCCCCCCCAACAGAGTCTTGCTCTGTCTTCCAGGCTGGAGTGCAGTGGCGCCGTCTTGGCTTACTGCACTGGCGCAGCCTCCGCCTCCCAGGTTCAAGCGATTCCTGCCTCAGCCTCCTGAGTAGCTGGGATTACAGGGCGTGCCACCACCCTTGGCTAGTTTTTGTGTTTTTAGTAGAGATAGGTGTAGGGAGAGCCCTCACACACCACCTGTGGGTACCCGGAGTTCGGTGGCAGCAAAGGAACTGAGAAAAAGACAGGTTAAGAATGAAGGTGGAACCACGGTTTCCACAGTATTTATTGAACATAGTCACTTTTTTTTTTTAATCGTACCTTGGGCTTTGGTTTACATGTGCGCATCCTGCAGGATTGTTGCATAGGTACATACATGCCATGGTGGTTTGCTGTCTCCATCTCTCCCCTCCCCTGTCGCCTGCATCAGGCATTAAACATAATCACTTTTATCTGTAGTGCTGGTGGTAGGGTGAATCGGTGGAGAGGCTGTGCATCAAACAGAAAATGGATGGCAGCGGCGGTTTATGTGAGTTTCTCAAGAGCTAAAAGCATATGCTTATCAATAGTGCAGCTGGTGGGAGCGCGCTTACGAAGGAGCCTACACGTCTGGTTACATTCCAGTGCTTCAAGGGAGTGTTATGCCCTTGGGCACTATGTTTAGAATATCAGAGTTTAGGTCACTTTGTTCCTGGGAACATGGTGGCAATAGAGAGGCCTTCCGTAGTTTATTGTTCCTGATTTCTTTTATACGTTACTTGTAACCAGTTTATGTAGGCACACTGTAAACCCTTCCTCTATTGCTGCTCCCCCCAGCAGTTTGAGTTTCACCATGTTGGTCAGGCTGGTCTGGAACTCCTGACCTTCTGGTCCACCTCCCAAAGTGCTGGGATTAAAGGTGTGAGCCACCTCGCCTGGCCTTGAACATGTTTTTCTAAAGTAGCATTCAACACATCAGCATTTTGTAGTGTTACTAGTTGTTAATATGATTGTTTTTCTGAAATGCAGTATCCTTTACAAAAGCAGTTTTTTCTTTCAAAGCACATAGATAGGTTCATAAGTGAATTTGTGTGATGTTGGAGACCTTGGCACCATTTTCTCCAGTTGATTGGAACAATCAATAATTTCAGGTCACTGTTGGCCTTCGAGGAAGAGCCCAAAGGCAACAAGCCAAGGGTGCTGGTGTCCAGTCGCCTTCTAGCAGCATTTTCACCTTCCCTTAAGGTTTCCCTTCATGAACATAGAAGTACTGTATGTAGAATTGACCCAATGCTGCCATAGCAACTTTGCATATTAGGCTAAATTTACAATTCTTACCTTTATGAGAGGTGCCCTGGTAGGCTAGTGGAGATGCAATATGGTTCAATCAAATAACATTCTCTGAGCCTGTTTCTTCAGCTGTAAAGTAAGAATAACAGTTACACACATCTAAATGGACAACTGTATTTGAGTGGTCTTTTTTTTTCTTTCTATGAAACTGTCTTTGCCAGGTGAGGTGGTTCACACCTGTAATCCCAGCACTTTGGGAGGCTAAGGTGGGTGGATCATGAGGTCAGGAGATCGAGACCATCCTGGCCAACATGGTAAAACCCTGTCTCTAATAAAATACAAAAAACTAGCTGGATGTGGTGGCATGAGCCTGTAGTCCCAGCTGCTTGGGAGGCTGAGGCAGGGGAATCACTTGAACCCGGGAGGCGGAGGTTGCAGTGAGCCAAGATCACGCAACTGCACTCCAGCCTGGTGACAGAGTGAGACTCTGTCTCAAAAAAACCCAAAAAACAAAAAACACGAAACTGTCTTTAACACAGCACTTATTTTCTTTGCCGTACCACATTCATTTTTTTTTTTTGAGATGAGTCTGTTTTTGTTTGTTTTTTTGGGATGGAGTCTTGCTCTGTTGCCCAGGTTGGAGTGCAGTGGCGCAGTCTCAGCTCACTGCAACTTCCCCTCCAAGGGTCAAGCGATTCTCTTGTCTCAGACTCCCAAGTAGCTGGGACCACAGGTGTGGGCCACCAAGCCCGGCTAATTTTTGTATTTTTTGTAGAGGTGGGGTTTCACCATATTGGTCAGGCTGTCTTGAACTCCTGACCTCATGATCTGCCTCCCTCAACCTCCCAAAGTCCTAGGATTACAGGTGTGAGCCTTGCTTTTTTTTTTTTTTTTCAGATAGAGTCTTGTTATTGTCGCCTAGGCTGGAGTGAACTGGCATGATCTCAGCTCATTGCAACCTCTGCCTCCCAGGTTCAAGTGATTCTCCTGTCTCAGCCTCCTGAGAAGCTGGTATTACAGGTGCCCACCACCACACCCGGCTAAATTTTTTTTTTTTTTGAGACGGAGTTTCGCTCTTGTTACCCAGGCTGGAGTGCAATGGCGCGATCTCGGCTCACCCCAACCTCCGCCTCCTGGGTTCAGGCAATTCTCCTGCCTCAGCCTCCTGAGTAGCTGGGATTACAGGCACGCACCACCATGCCCAGCTAATGTTTTGTATTTTTATTAGAGACGGGGTTTCACTGTGTTGACCAGGATGGTCTTGATCTCTTGACCTCGTGATCCACCCGCCTCGGCCTCCCAAAGTGCTGGGATTACAGGCGTGAGCCACCGCGCCCGGCTTGTTTGTTTGTATTTTTAGTAGAGATGGGGTTTCATCATGGCTGTTCTCGAAAGTGCTGATCTTAAGTGATCCATCTGTCTTGGCTTCCCAAAGTGCTGGGATTATAGGCATCAGCCGTCAGCCACTGTGCCCAGCCTGTTTTTAACTTCTTTTTTTTTTTTTTTTTTTTTGAGACGGAGTTTCGCTCTTGTTACCCAGGCTGGAGTGCAATGGCACGATCTCGGCTCACCGCAACCTCTGCCTTCTGGATTCAAGCAATTCTCCTGCCTCAGCCTCCTGAGCAGCTGGGATTACAGGCACGCGCCACCATCATGGGGTTACTGTGGACAAGCCCAGGGCTGCCAGTGAATCCTGCCGTCCTTACACATCTCTCCTTATAAGGTGCTTTGTAGTGTCTAAATATTAGAAACATTCTTTGTTTCTAGAGATGGGGTTTCAGTATGGTGGCCAGGCTGGTCTCAAACTTCTAATCCGCCCACCTTGGCCTCCCAAAGTGCTGCAATTACAGGTGTGAGCCACTGCGCCCAGCCCTATTTATTTATTTTTTTGAGACAATCTTGCTCTGTCTCCCAGATTGGAGTGCAGTGGCATTACCTGGGCTCACTGCAACCTCTGCCTCCTGGGTTCAAGCAGTTCTGCTGTGTCAGCCTCCTAAGTAGCTGAGATTGCAGGTGTGTGCCACCATGCCCAGCTGATTTTTGTATTTTTAGTAGAGACGGTTTCACCATGTTGACCAAGTTGGTCTTGAACTCCTGACCTCAAGTGATCCACCCACCTTGGCCTCCCAAAGTGCTGGGATTACAGTTGTGAGCCACCATACCTGGCCTATGTTTTTATTATATTGCTACTTTAGTACTATTCTGAGTAAAAATAATTTGCTGTTAAAGTTTTATGAATTGACTATGACAATTTTATAAATGTCAGTGCTTTTTATAAGGTGAAACAGATTATGTTGTGGGGCTTTTGTTGTGATATAACTCCAAGGTGCTGGGTTACAGGCATGAGCCACCATGCCTGGCCAACTCTTAACTTTTTGTAGCTGTTTGTATTGTTTTAATATTGAGTAAATAAATGCTAGCTGAGGTGTTGCATGTTGGAAATAGATGCTTGGTGCCGCAAAGAAAAACTGGCACTGAGACAAAGGGTTTTTTTTTTTTTAAAGCAATGCAAGTTTTGCTTCCTGGACTGCAGGAAGGGTACTCTAACTAGCCATCCTGCCACAAGAGTACAATGAACAAAGGAAAGCAGACACTTTTATTTTATTTATTTATTTTTTTTGAGACGGAGTTTCGCTCGTTACCCAGGCTGGAAGTGCAATGGCGCGATCTCGGCTCACCGCAACCTCCGCCTCCTGGGTTCAGGCAATTCTCCTGCCTCAGCCTCTTGAGTAGCTGGGATTACAGGCACGCGCCACCATGCCCAGCTAATTTTTTTTATTTTTAGTAGAGACGGGGTTTCACCATGTTGACCAGGATGGTCTCGATCTCTTGACCTCGTGATCCACCCACCTTGGCCTCCCAAAGTGCTGGGATTACAGGCTTGAGCCACCGCGCCCGGCCTCGGAATTTTTTTTAAGAAGGCTATCTCCTTATGGAATTCCTGGCCTTGAAACGGATATTACTTGCAAAGGAAAGGATTCATTTTGTGATAAAAAGTATGGCTCTTGGATTCTTTTTATCTCTGTTCTGAGTAATACATCTTTTGTTGACGAATATTCATTCACCACTAGGGTATATGTAATTAAGTTCAAGTTATTTTATGTATTTTTATCTTCTGCTTTTTAATTTATCTGGATCTAACACTGAGTCAGTCATTCCAATGTTACCTTTTGAAATACGAACACTGCCCGCACCTGACCGGCATGCAACTGACTTTTTCCTTAATAATTTTCTGCTACTTTTGCTAAAGAAAATAGTATCCATGTCTTGTTTTTAAGCCTGAGATTGATTTTATTTATTTATTTATTTATTGAGACAGAGTCTGGCTGTGTTACCCATACTGGAGTGCAGTCGCATGATCTTGGCTCACTGCAACCTCCGTCTCCTGGCTTTAAGTAATTCTCCTGTTTCAGCCTCCTGAGTAGCTGGGATTACAGGCGTGCACCACCATGCCCAGCTAATTTGTTTGTATTTTTAGTAGAGATGGGTTTTCAACATGTTGGCCAGGCTGGTCTCAAACATCTGACCTCGTGACCTGCCTGCTTTGGCCTCCCAAAGTGCTGGGATTACAGGTGTGAGCCACCATTCCCAGCCAGGCCTGAGATTTTTAAAGCATATGTGGGAATATATAACGGTTTTTATAGATTGTAGAGGAAGATAGTCTTGAATGCAACGTGATATCAAAGGATCCCGTTAAAGATTTTTATAGTCTTCAAAGACCTGTTGGTTGCAAAGTTACCACTTTACTCCTCCCACCTGTCACTTAAAGTGCTGGGATTACAGATGTGAGCCACTACATCTGGTCAATTCATTTCCTGTTCCTGGTTCACTGTAAAGGACACATCTCAGAAACAGCCAGTGAAGGAGATGTACATATTGGGTGCAGTGGCTCACGCCTGTCATCCCAGCACTTTGGGAGGTCGAGGTGGGATGATCACTTAAACTCAGGAGTTTGAGACCAGCCTGGGCAACTTGGTGAAACCCTGTTATCTATCAAAATTAAAAAAAAAAAGCTGGATGTGGTGGCTGATGCCTGTAATCCCAGCACTTTGGGAGCCTGAGGCGGGTAGATCACAAGGTCAGGAGTGCGAGACCAGCCTGACCAACACGGCGAAACCTCATTTCTACTAAAAAACAAAAGTTAGCTGGTGTGGTGATAGGTGCCTGTAATTAGCCAGGCATGAAGGCATGCACCTATAGTTTTAGCTACCAGGGAGGCTGTGGTAGGAGGATCGGCTGAGCCTGGGAATTTGAGGTTGCAGTGAGCCGAGACTGCACCACTGCACTCCAGCCTTGGTGACAGAGTGAGATCTTGTCTTTAAAAAAAAAAAAAAAAAAGAAATGAACATGGTGGTAATTGGGACAGATGGCAGTGTTACACAGAACGGTCAAGGGTGGCCTCCAAAGTGAAAACAGCAAAATCTTGAAGGGGAGAAAGGAACTGGCCAAGGTGCTGAGGGAAGAGCCTTTTAGGCAGAAACGGTGGAATAGTGTCTGAGGTGTTTGTGGGGCTCTGGAAGGAGACCAGTGGAGCAGAAGAAGAGAGGGAGAGAAGTAGGGGAGGCGGCCAGGGAGCTGCTGGGTGGGGATCAGGACAGATCATCTAAGCCCTGGGAAGTTATTGCTGGGCTTTGGCTTTTACTTTGAGATGGGAACTGTGGGAGAGTTCTGAGCAGAGACAACATGAGCCGTCTCCCGATTTGAATGCATTCTCTGGCTGCTGAGTTGTGGGACGATTTGGGGAGAAGCGTGGGGGCCAAGCTGTGGCAACACCCAGGTGGGAGATGATAGTGGTCCTGACCAGGGTCATGATGGCAGGGTGAGAGACGGTCAGAGGAGAGAAGCAGGGGAGGAGGCCAGGGAGCTGCTGGGTGGGGATCTTCAGTGCACGGTGAACAGAGTCAACAGGATTTCCTGACAGACTGGATGTGGGGTTTGAGAAAAGGTAGGGGTCAAGGTTGAATTTTATTCTTATTGAATTATTAAGTAATTAAAAAAAAAACACTACTGCCTTTCTCAATCTTACCAAGTAAGGGATGCTAGATTAAAGAAATCTCTTCAGGCTCAGTGCAGTGGCTCATGCCTGTAGTCGCAGCTGTTTGGGAAGCAGAGATGGGAATGCCTTTTAAGGGCAGAAATTCAAGACCAGCCTGGGCAACAAAGGAATAGATTTCCCCTTCTACAAGATATTTTTCAAAATTTAACAAAATAAAAGAAATGTAGCTAGGCATGGTAATGTGTACTTGTAGTCTTAGCTACTACTGAGGAGGCTGAGGTGGGCAGATCTCTTGAGGTCAGGAGTTTGAGGTCAGCTTGGGCAGCATAGCAAGATCCCCTTACTCTATAAAAAAATTTTAAAAAGCCAGGTATGGTGGCACTCAACTGTAGTACCAGCACTGGGGAGCTGAGGCAGGAAGATGGCTTGAGCCCAGGACGTTGAGGCTGCAGTGAGCTACAAGTGCACAACTGCACTCTAGCCTCAGTGACAGAGCAGGACCTTGTCTCATAATACAAATAGAAATACAAATAAAGTAATGAAAACTCAAGTCAGAGCCTTTCGGCTCTGCAGCCCTTGCAACCCCAGAGCTGTGCAGTGAGGTTTTTATCACTGGGAATGAGAGGATACCGCTGCCCAGTGTTGTTGCCTGACTAATCAGTGTTTAAAAATATATATATTAATCGAGCTGGGTGTGGTGGCTCACACCTGTAATCCCAAACACTTTGGGAGAATGAAGCAGGTGGATTACCTGGGGTCAGGAGTTCAAAGCCGGCTTTTCCAACATGGCAAAACCCCATCTGTACTAAAAAAAATAAAAATTAGCCAGGCATGGTGGCTGGTGCCTGTAATCCAGGCTACTTTGGAGGCTGAGGCAGGAGAATCATTTGAACCCAGGTGGGCAGAGTTTGCAGTGAGCCAAGATTGCACTGCTTTACTCTAGGCTCAGTAAAAGAGTAAGACTGTCTCAAAAAAGAAAGTATTACGTACATCAACATGTAATGGTTTTATTATTATTTAAGACAGAGTTTCACTCTGGTTACCCAGGCTGGAGTGCAATGGCACAATCTCAGCTCACTGCAACCTCCACTTCCCAGGCTTAAGGGGTTTAAGGAATTCTCCTACCTTAGCCTCCCAAGTAGCTGGGATTACAGGTGCCTGCCACCACACCGGGCTAATTTTGTATTTTTATTAGAGACAGGGTTTCACCATGTTAGAACTCCTGACTTCAGGTTGTTTTCCTACCTTGGCCTCTCAAAGTGCTGGGATTACAGGCATAAGCCATTGTGCCCAGTTAATTTTATTGTTAAATGTAATGAATAATAATTTTTATTTTATAAAAAAAAATTTTTTTTTTTTTTTTGAGACGGAGTTTCACTCGTTACCCAGGCTGGAGTGCAATGGCGCGATCTTGGCTCACCCCAACCTCCGCCTCCTGGGTTCAGGCAATTCTCCTGCCTCAGCCTCCTGAGTAGCTGGGATTACAGGCACGCGCCACCATGCCCAGCTAATGTTTTGTATTTTTAGTAGAGACGGGGTTTTACCATGTTGACTAGGATGGTCTCGATCTCTTGACCTTGTGATCCACCTGCCTTGGCCTCCCAAAGTGCTGGGATTACAGGCGTGAGCCACTGTGCCTGGCAAATTTTTTTTTTTTTTAAAGACGGAGTTTCACCATGTTGGTCAGGCTGGTATTGAACTCCTGACACCTCAGGTGATCCGCCCACCTTGGCCTCCAAAGTGCTTGGATTACAGGTGTGAGCCACCACGCCTGGTCTGAATAATAAATATTTTTTTTTTTTTTTTTTTTTTTTTGAGACAGAGTTTCGCTCTTGTTACCCAGGCTGGAGTGCAATGGCGCGATCTCGGCTCACCACAACCTCCGCCTCCTGGGTTCAGGCAATTCTCCTGCCTCAGCCTCCCGAGTAGCTGGGATTACAGGCACGTGCCACCATGCCCAGCTAATTTTTTTTATTTTTAATAGAGACGGGGTTTCACCATGTTGACCAGGATGGTCTCGATCTCTTAACTTTGTGATCCACCCGCCTCGGCCTCCCAAAGTGCTGGGATTACAGGATTGAGCCACCGCGCCCGGCAGGATCCTTTTACAATTAAGTAGCTGTTCCTTAATTGATGTACTTGTGAAGTCAAATTTATATGTTTATTTATTTATCTTAAATCAAGACAGACTAGTGAGACTAACCTCATGATTTGATATGTAATGTGGAAGTGTAATAAAATATTAGTCCAATTAAGAAACCCTGCTTTTCATTATCCCATATAGAAGTGATTTGGGTAAACATTATGTTATTCAGTAACAGGTAATGTGAACTAAACTTGAACAGTGATACAGGTTGAGCAGCAATGAGAAAGTGGCTGTAAGCTCATTCAAATTTTCTTAAGCGTCCAGTCAAATAAGGCAGGTAGAAAAAACGCCAACTTGCCTTCATAATGGTTAATTATGGAAAAAATCATGAAGCTAAAAGTATACATTTCATGTTTAATTTTGCTTGCTATTTTAATGTAAGAACAAAGGATTAAAGCTCAATTAAGGAGCATTTGGTTTTTTGGCAGTGTTTCGTCACTACGGTTAGCCTATGAGGATCTTGAAATTCAGATGAAGAAAGACGAAAAGATGAACATGAGTGGCAAAACACACATTGACTCAGACAGACTTGGCATGGGGTTTGGAAACTGCAGAAGGTATGTGAGACTGCTTTCTTGGAGTCAGAATCGAAGCCAGTTTGCGAATCATCAATGGATTTTTCTTGGACTGTGTTACTTTCAACTTTAGAGATACTTTGTTATTCCTTATCTTCTTTAATTGTTTTTGCTTTGCTCTAATTCAGTATGACATGCAAAATTTCAAATTTGGTTCTTTAAAAAAAGGAAAAAGGTCTGACTCTTCATGAAGCACACAGCAGAGTGGAGGCCATGAACATAACCAGTATTTGTGACGGTGTTTTGTGTAGATACAGCCCTCACAGAACTTTAGCATTTTTGATAGCTTGTACCAGAAAACCTTTGCTTTATTGCTTATGTTTTTAACCACTCTCATAAATTTGTCTTTGTTCAACATGTAGCTGAAAGCTTTTTTATTTTGGAAAAACAAGTTTGTGAACTTACTGATTTATATATTTTTCTGTTTTCTCAAGTGGTATTTCACATTCAGTGGCTTCAGATATGCAGACCATAGAATAAGAATCACCCATCGTGGCAAAACCAAGAAAAAAGTGTAATGATGACAGTGATGATTCATATTTCACTTCCAGCTCAAGGTATTCTATGAAAAATCATTGTTAACGTGTCATTTTGAAAAGCAGTGACTAGTATGGATTTATTAGTTTATTTGCATTAGGAGAAATTCCTAATCAATTTACTTCATTGTTTTTAAAAGCTTTAGCTGTAGCCAAGGCTATTCTTTGGAATAAAAATTAGAGAAACATTTGTGAAAGGACAATGTTTGCTAATATTAAAATGTTTGATAATAAAATCAGCAACTGTGATTAAAATTAGAGGTAGGAGAGATGTGTTTAAGTTTTGAAATTGGAGAAATCTGCCTAATTCTGAAGGTATGTGTTACTTTGTTTTAGTCTAGCAGTTGGAAAATTACACCGCTCTTTCTCAGGGCTTCAGTAGATTCTGTGTTTCAGAATGCCAGTTTCAGAAAACTCCAAGTGGCAGAATAGAGTGGTTTGTTTGTTTGTTTGTTTTTTGAGACGGAGTTTCGCTCTTGTTCCCTGGCTGGAGTGCAATGGCGCGATCTCGGCTCACCGCAACCTCCGCCTCCTGGGTTCAGGCAATTCTCCTGCCTCATCCTCCTGAGTAGCTGGGATTACAGGCACGCGCCACCATGCCCAGCTAATTTTTTGTATTTTTAGTAGAGATGGGGTTTCACCATGTTGACCAGGATGGTCTGGATCTCTTGACCTCGTGATCCACCTGCCTCGGCCTCCCAAAGTGCTGGGATTACAGGCGTGAGCCACCGTGCCCGGCCTATTTTTCTTTTCTCCTCCACCTTAGCACTACTGACGTTTTGCTCATCTAACCTTTTTTCTAGGTTCTTAGTTTCTTTGCTTTGGGTGAGCACATGTTCTTTTAGCTTTAAGAAGTTTGTCATTACCCACCTTCTGAGGCCTGTTTCTGTGAATTCGTCAGATTCGTTCTCCGTCCATTTTGATCTCTAGCTTGTGAGGAGTTGTGATCCTTTGGAGGTAGAGACGCATTCTGGTTTTTGGTGTTTTCATCCTTTTTGTGCTGGTTTCTTCCCATCTTAGTGGCTTTATCGACCTGTGGTCTTTGTAGTTGTTGACGTTCAGATGGGCTCTCTGAGTGGATGTCCAGTTTGTTTATGATGAAGTTACTTCTTTCTGTTTCTGTTTTCGTCCTAACAGGCCCCTCTGCTGAGACTGCTGGAGCTCCACTCCAGACCCTGCTTGGCTGGGGATCACCCACGGCGGCTGCAGAACGCCAAGGGTTGCTGCTGGTTTCTTCTGTTATCTCCGTCCCAGAAGGGTACCTGCCAGATGTCAGCCTGAGCTCCCTATTATGAGGTGTGTCTTTGGGTTTTCGGGGGTCATGGAGCTGCTTGAGGAGACAGTCTGTCCCTTACAGGAGCTCAAGTGCTGTGCTGGGAGCTCTGTTGTTGCATGCAGAGCTGCTGGGCAGATGCTTTTAAGTCTGCCACAGTGGAACTCATAACCGCCTCTTTTCCCAGGTGCTTTGTCCTAGGAAGGTCGGCTTTATTTATAAGCTTCTGTCACGCTGTTGCCTTTTCTCATAGATGCCCTGCCCTGCAGAGAGTGGTCTAGTCACAGTCTGCCAGCAGAGGCATTGCTGAGCTGCCACAGGCTCTGCCCAGCTGCTGTGTGAACTGCCTCGGTAGTGGTGGTCGCCCTTCCCCCCACGAGCTGGACTGTCCTGGGTCCTGCTGCACTTGCTGTGAAACTCTCAATCCAGAGCATTTCAGATGGCTTGTTTTGTGGGGGTGGTACCCGCCAAACCAGGTCGCCTGGCTTCCTGACTCTGCCCCCTCCCTTTCCGTTGATTGGGCAGCTCTGTCTCCCAGGCATTACAGGTGCCAGTTGAAATGGCAGCCCAGATTTGTGGGAGTTTCTGTGTGCCAGCCTGGCACCGGCTGAAACTGCTGTGCTAGAAACTTTGTGGCGCTTTTTGGCCTGGGAATCTCCTGGTCTGTGGGCAATGAAAATTTGTTTGGAAATGCAATGGGCACTCACCCTCTGCATTGTTTTTCCTGGAAACTGCACTCCAGAACAGTTCCTATGTGGCCATCTTGGATCCTCTCTTACTTTTTTTTTTTTTTTTTTTTTTTTGAGACAGAGTTTCACTCTTGTTGCCTAGGCTGGAGTGCAATGGCACAATCTTGGCTCACTGAAGCTTCTGCCTCCTGGATTCAAGTGATTCTCCTGCCTCAGCCTCCTGAGTAGCTGGGATTACAGGTATGTGGCACCACGCCCAGCTAATTTTGTATTTTTAGTAGAGACAGTGTTTCTCCATGTTGGTCAGGCTGATCTTGAACTCCCAACCTCAGGCAATCCACCCGCTCAGCCTCCTAAAGTGCTGGGATTACAGGTGTGAGCCACCATGCCCTGCTATGATGACATCTAGTTGGTTTGTTTTTTTAGTAGAAGAGAATATGACAGTACTATAAGTACAATGACTACTAATTACAGTTTTGTGCCACTGCCTTGATTTGTGCTAAGGCATCCACAGTTTTATATACCAGCTCTTTGGCACTATCACCACGAACATCAACAGAAGGAAAATTCAAGTAACATCTTAGTATTACTGTGAAAATAGTTTTAACCTTGGAGATCTCCTGCGAGGGTCTGAAGGATTTTTCAGGTATTCTGAAACCATAATTTGGGAACCTCTACTTTAGTAAAATACAGAAGCATTTATACATGAAATGATACGATGCCTTGCATTTGTTTTAAAATAATTCAGCAGAAGTTGGGGGAAGAGAGAGAGTTAATAATACTGGCCCACCATGGTTAACTGCTGGTATTGGGAATGCTGCTTACCATTTTATTTTTGTGATTGAAATTCTGCATAATAAATATTGTTTAACACATTCCATTTAAAATACGATTTATCAACCTGGGCACAACTAACATTTGGGGATGGATAAATCCTTTGTTGCAGTAGCTGTCCTATGATTGCAGGATGTTTAGCAACACTCTGGCCTCTTTCTGTTATAGGCCAGTTGTAACACTTCTGCTTTCCCAACTGTGACAACCAAAAAGTCTCAAGACATTGTCAAATGTCCCCTGAGGAGCAAACTGCCCCCACTTAAGAACCACTGTTTTAAACCAAGGTTGCTTATTATTATTAGAAGTACTAGCCTAGGCAAAACCACAAAACATTAGGAAATATGCAGGAAGGATATCAATATACAAAAGTCATTTACATTTGTATACACCAACAACTAAACGGAACTTTTTTTTTTTTTTTTTTTTGAGATGGAGTCTTGCTCTGTCACCCAGGCTGGAGTGCAATGGCTCGATCTCGGCTCACGGCAACCTCCGCCTCCTGGGTTCAGGCGATTCTCCTACCTCAGCCTCCCGAGTAGCTGGAATAATAGGCACACGCCACCATACCCTGCTAATTTTTTTGTATTTTTAGTAGAGAGGAGGTTTCACTATGTTAGCCAGGATGGTCTTGATCTTCTGACCTTGTGATCCACCCACCTCGGCCTCCAGAATGCTGGGATTAGAGAGGTGAGCCACTGTGTCTGGCCCAGAACATTTAAAAACAATACATGCCGGGCCCGGTGGCTCACGCCTGTAATCCCAACACTTTGGGAGGCCGAGGCGGGTGGATCACAAGCTCAAGAGACCGAGACCATCCTGGTCAACATGGTGAAACCCCGTCTCTACTAAAAATACAAAAAATTAGCTGGGCATGGTGGTACATGCCTGTAATCCCAGCTACTCGGGAGGCTGAGGCAGGAGAATTGCCTGAACCCAGGAGGCGGATGTTGCCGTGAGCCGAGATCGAGCCATTGCACTCCAGCCTGGGTGAGAGAGCAAGACTCCATCTCAAAAAAAAAAAAAAAAAAAAGTTCCGTTTAGTTGTTGGTGTATACAAATGTAAATGACTTTTGTATATTGATATCCTTCCTGCATATTTCCTAATGTTTTGTGGTTTTGCCTAGGCTAGTACTTCTAATAATAATAAGCAACCTTGGTTTAAAACAGTGGTTCTTAAGTGGGGGCAGTTTGCTCCTCAGGGGACATTTGACAATGTCTTGAGACTTTTTGGTTGTCACAGTTGGGAAAGCAGAAGTGTTACAACTGGCCTATAACAGAAAGAGGCCAGAGTGTTGCTAAACATCCTGCAATCATAGGACAGCTACTGCAACAAAGGATTTATCCATCCCCAAATGTTAGTTGTGCCCAGGTTGATAAATCGTATTTTAAATGGAATGTGTTAAACAATATTTATTATGCAGAATTTCAATCACAAAAATAAAATGGTAAGCAGCATTCCCAATACCAGCAGTTAACCATGGTGGGCCAGTATTATTAACTCTCTCTCTTCCCCCAACTTCTGCTGAATTATTTTAAAACAAATGCAAGGCATCGTATCATTTCATGTATAAATGCTTCTGTATTTTACTAAAGTAGAGGTTCCCAAATTATGGTTTCAGAATACCTGAAAAATCCTTCAGACCCTCGCAGGAGATCTCCAAGGTTAAAACTATTTTCACAGTAATACTAAGATGTTACTTGAATTTTCCTTCTGTTGATGTTCGTGGTGATAGTGCCAAAGAGCTGGTATATAAAACTGTGGATGCCTTAGCACAAATCAAGGCAGTGGCACAAAACTGTAATTAGTAGTCATTGTACTTATAGTACTGTCATATTCTCTTCTACTAAAAAAACAAACCAACTAGATGTCATCATAGCAGGGCATGGTGGCTCACACCTGTAATCCCAGCACTTTAGGAGGCTGAGCGGGTGGATTGCCTGAGGTTGGGAGTTCAAGATCAGCCTGACCAACATGGAGAAACACTGTCTCTACTAAAAATACAAAATTAGCTGGGCGTGGTGCCACATACCTGTAATCCCAGCTACTCAGGAGGCTGAGGCAGGAGAATCACTTGAATCCAGGAGGCAGAAGCTTCAGTGAGCCAAGATTGTGCCATTGCACTCCAGCCTAGGCAACAAGAGTGAAACTCTGTCTCAAAAAAAAAAAAAAAAAAAAAAAAAGTAAGAGAGGATCCAAGATGGCCACATAGGAACTGTTCTGGAGTGCAGTTTCCAGGAAAAACAATGCAGAGGGTGAGTGCCCATTGCATTTCCAAACAAATTTTCATTGCCCACAGACCAGGAGATTCCCAGGCCAAAAAGCGCCACAAAGTTTCTAGCACAGCAGTTTCAGCCGGTGCCAGGCTGGCACACAGAAACTCCCACAAATCTGGGCTGCCATTTCAACTGGCACCTGTAATGCCTGGGAGACAGAGCTGCCCAATCAACGGAAAGGGAGGGGGCAGAGTCAGGAAGCCAGGCGACCTGGTTTGGCGGGTACCACCCCCACAAAACAAGCCATCTGAAATGCTCTGGATTGAGAGTTTCACAGCAAGTGCAGCAGGACCCAGGACAGTCCAGCTCGTGGGGGGAAGGGCGACCACCACTACCGAGGCAGTTCACACAGCAGCTGGGCAGAGCCTGTGGCAGCTCAGCAATGCCTCTGCTGGCAGACTGTGACTAGACCACTCTCTGCAGGGCAGGGCATCTATGAGAAAAGGCAACAGCGTGACAGAAGCTTATAAATAAAGCCGACCTTCCTAGGACAAAGCACCTGGGAAAAGAGGCGGTTATGAGTTCCACTGTGGCAGACTTAAAAGCATCTGCCCAGCAGCTCTGCATGCAACAACAGAGCTCCCAGCACAGCACTTGAGCTCCTGTAAGGGACAGACTGTCTCCTCAAGCAGCTCCATGACCCCCGAAAACCCAAAGACACACCTCATAATAGGGAGCTCAGGCTGACATCTGGCAGGTACCCTTCTGGGACGGAGATAACAGAAGAAACCAGCAGCAACCCTTGGCGTTCTGCAGCCGCCGTGGGTGATCCCCAGCCAAGCAGGGTCTGGAGTGGAGCTCCAGCAGTCTCAGCAGAGGGGCCTGTTAGGACGAAAACAGAAACAGAAAGAAGTAACTTCATCATAAACAAACTGGACATCCACTCAGAGAGCCCATCTGAACGTCAACAACTACAAAGACCACAGGTCGATAAAGCCACTAAGATGGGAAGAAACCAGCACAAAAAGGATGAAAACACCAAAAACCAGAATGCGTCTCTACCTCCAAAGGATCACAACTCCTCACAAGCTAGAGATCAAAATGGACGGAGAACGAATCTGACGAATTCACAGAAACAGGCCTCAGAAGGTGGGTAATGACAAACTTCTTAAAGCTAAAAGAACATGTGCTCACCCAAAGCAAAGAAACTAAGAACCTAGAAAAAAGGTTAGATGAGCAAAACGTCAGTAGTGCTAAGGTGGAGGAGAAAAGAAAAATAGGCCGGGCACGGTGGCTCACGCCTGTAATCCCAGCACTTTGGGAGGCCGAGGCAGGTGGATCACGAGGTCAAGAGATCCAGACCATCCTGGTCAACATGGTGAAACCCCATCTCTACTAAAAATACAAAAAATTAGCTGGGCATGGTGGCGCGTGCCTGTAATCCCAGCTACTCAGGAGGCTGAGGCAGGAGAATTGCCTGAACCCAGGAGGCGGAGGTTGCGGTGAGCCGAGATCGCGCCATTGCACTCCAGCCTGGGTAACAAGAGCGAAACTCCTTCTAAAAAAAAAAGAAAAGAAAAGACATGGCCAGGTGTGATGGCTCATGCCTGTAATCCCAGCAATTTGGGAGGCTGAGGCAGGTCAATAACCTGAGGTCGGGCGTTCAAGACCATCCTGACCAAGATTGAAAAAGCTCGTCTCTACTAATAATAGCCAGGCATTATTGTGCGTGCCTGTAATTTCAGCTACTTGGGAGGCTGAGGCAGGAGAATCGCTTGAACCCAGGAGGCAGAGGCTGTGGTCAGCCAAGAGCACCATTGCCCTCCAGCCTGGGCAACAAGAGCAAAACTCTGTCTCAAAAACAAAAAGACCAAGACATTGCTAGAGAAGAACTAAGCAGGGAGGTTGCACTATTAGATTCTATGACATTTTCTTCTTTTTCTTTTTGAGAGAGTCTCACTCTGTCACCCAGGCTGGAGTGCAGTGATGGAATCTCTGCTCACTGCAACTTTGCCTCCATTTCCTAGAGGTACCCGGCACCACAATCATTGTATTTTTTGGTGAAGATGGGGTTTTACCATGTCAGCCAGGCTGGAATCTAACCCCTGACTCCAGTGATCCACCCACCTCAGCCTCCCAAAGTACTGGGATTACAGGCATGAGCTACCACACCTGGCCGCTTTTAAGACATTTTCTAAAACCATAGTAATTAGAGTGATATACGGCATGAGAGTAGACTAAATAAAGAGAGACAGAGATCTTGCCTGGGCACGGTGGCTCACACTTGTAATCCCAGGACTTTGGGAGGCCAAGTGGGTGGATCACAAGGTCAGGAGATAGAGACCATCCTGGCCAGCATGGGGAAACCCCATCTCTAATATAAAATGCCTACTTTAAATCATCTCTAAATTACTTATAATACCTAATACAATGCCCACACATCACTTCGTTTACATAGTCAATGTAGTATTCAGCACACAGCAAGTTTAAGTTGTGGTTTTGGGAATTCTATGGAATATTTTACCCCTTGAATGTTTTTGACCTGAGGTTAGTTGAATCTTCGAGTATGGAACCCGTTACACAAAGTGCTGACTGTATTTTCATTAGATGGCTCTGAGAAACTGGTATTTATAGAAAAAAATGTGACAATGAATCTGTAGCTCACACAAAAAATAAATTCCATATTGATTAATTCCAGATTAACGTGAAGAGAAATTTCTTTTAAAGTTTAGGAAAAAACATGGTATATGACCTTAAGGAAGAATTTCTTTACGAAAAACTCTAAGGAAAAAGACTTGATAAAAATTTAAATTCATCAAAAGATTTTTCTTAATTCTGTTAAAGTGATGGCATTGACAAAAAAGATATTAAAAAGGAAGTTAAAAGGTAAGCTATTGAGAGAAGCAATTTGCAACATATGTATCAGACAAACACTAAAAAAATGAAAAACCACCATTAAAAAAATGGGTAAAGTTCATAAACAGGCATTGCACAGAAGAGAAAAACAAATGGCCAGTGAAGATATAAGATGCCCAAACTCATTATTAGAGAAGTACAAATTAAATCATAGTGAGGTGCCGTTTTGTTCTTACTAAACTGGAAAAACAAAAATTTTTAAAAAGCCAGGCTGGTGAGGATATGGATCACTGGGATTTTCTTTTTCTTTTTCTTTTTTTTTTTTTTTTTGAGACATCTAGTCTCGCTCTGTCAACCAGCCTGGAGTGCAGTGGTGCGATCTCAGCTCACGGTAACCTTCATCTGCCAGGTTCATGCAATTCTCCTGCCTCACCCTCTGAGTAGCTGGGATTACACCACACTTGGCTAATTTTCATACTTTTAGTAGAGAAAGGGCTTTGCCATGTTGGCCAGACTGGTCTCAAACTTCTGACCTCAGATAATCTGCCCACCTTGGCCTCTCAAACTGCTGGGATTACAGGCATAAGCCACCGCACCTGGCCTGAGAATTTTCATATTCTGATGGTGGAAGTCTAAACTAGTACAAACTCTCTAGCAGTTAATTAGGCATTACCTAAAGAAGTGGAATATGCAAACTGCTCATAATCCATCTATTCTAATCTAAAATGTATAAGAGAAACTCTTGAAGGAAACACCTTCAAAAACATGCATAGCTCCAAACTAAAAACAATCCAAATGTTCATCAGTAGTAAAAATGTGTAATCTATTATACCAGAGAACAATATTTTGGCATTAAAACTGATGATCTAGCTATATACCACAACACGGGTAAATCTCAAAAGAAGTATTTAGGCCAAAAACAAAAAAACCTGACAGAAGAAAACACAGACCATGATTCCATTTATATAACGTTTACCAACAGGCAAACTAAACTAAAGGAAGAAGGGGAAACATGATAATGGAATATCAAAGGTCGCCTCCAAGTAGTTTCAAATATTACTGTTACTGTGATGCCAAAACTCCCAACCTGCCACGTCAGTTTCCTCCTAGAGCTGTTCAAATCGGGTGCCCACGTTGCTTCATTGAGACAAACATTTCATGACTTTAAGAATAGCTTTACCCTAAACACGCTTACAGGATCACGTGTAAGAACATTAACAAAAGCCTATGGTGCACCTGCTACTGTCCTAGGTGTTTCACACTCATTATCATAAACATTTAACAATAAAAATAATATCATACTAATAAGTACCATTTTGAGCACTTACTATGTGCCAGGTGCTATTCTAAATGCTTTGTAGTAATTCTCACAACTCTGAAATCAGTAATATGGTCATCATCAGCAATACGTATTATCATCATTATATTAATAATAAATACAATAGGTAAGTAACATTTTCAGACCTATATACCAGGCCTTTGGCTAAGGGCTTTATGTCATTCTAACTTAATCCTCACAACAACCCTATGGATAGGTATTATCATCCTTAATGGATACTATTTCAGTAATCCATTATCCACAGTTTCGGTTAGTTCTCTGCAGTCAACTGCGGTCTGAAAACATTATATGGAAAACTCCAGAAATACACAACTGACAAGTTTTAAATTGCATGTCATTCTCAGTAGCACGATGAACTCTAGCATTGTCTCACTCTGTCTAGACTGGGATGTAAACCACCCCTTTGTCCAGCATGTTCATGCAGTGTACACTCATTACCCACCATTAGTCACTTAGTAGCCCTCTCAGTTATTGAATGGCCTGTAGCAGTATTGCAGTCCTTACATTCAATTAACTTTTGTTTGACTTAATTATGGCCATAAAGCTCAAAAGTAGTGATGCTGGCATATTGTTATAACTGTTCTACTTTATAAGTTATTGCTGTTAATCTTAATGTGCTTAATTTATAAATTAATCACAGGTATGTATACACAAGAACAAATATAGTATATATAAGGCTCAGTACCTTCCATGGGGTTTCAGACATCCACTGGTGTCTTGGAACATATTCACAAATAGGAGGGAACTAATGTATTATTCCCATATTCTCATTTCCAGGATAAGAAAACTAAAGGAAAGATGAGATACCAAGATTAGGCAAAACCAAGTAACTCACTCAAGGTCATAAAATCAATAAAGGACAGAGCTAGGATTTGAACCTGTGTCCGTCTGACTCTCAAGCCTATGCTTAGCCACTGTAACACTGTTTTAGTTTGTCTTCATGAACACTCTAAGTATATACAACAAGAACTAAGAGTACAGATGAAGACAGAAAGACCTGGGTCCATATCCTGGCACTACCATGTTCCAGCTGTGGGATGGAAGACAAGCTCCTCAACCTCTGGGAGCCTCAAGTCCTTCACCTACAAAATTGAGGTGCATTAAGGTACCTATGGGTAAGCGTAAAAGGGTAAATAGGAAAACTAAATGAGATAAGGCATTCAGAGGGCTCAGCATAGTGCCTGGCACATAAATGTTCAGTAGATGTTGGATGATATCACTACCATCATCAGCATCTTCCCTTTTTTATAGATAAAATGGAGACATAGAGAGAGAAATTTGATGCAACGTTACAAAACCAGTTAGTGTCAAAGACTTTTAAACACAAGTCTAGCCAGCTTCAAAGTATCAACTCTTTTCCATTTGCCAAATGTCCCCTGAAAGCATAGAAAGTACATCCCGTGGGCCAGGCGTGGTGGCTCATGCCTGTAATCCAAGCACTTTGGCGGATGGATCCAAGGCGGGTGGATCACCTGAGGTCAGGAGTTCAAGACTAGCCTGACCAACATGGTGAAACCCCGTCTTTAAAAAAATAAAAGTAAGTACATCCCAGACAGGAGGAGGCCTTGGGGAGATCTTCCTTAGGGAAAGAAAACCTGAACTAAATCTTAAAATAGAACCATGAGTTGGTCAGATGAAGAAATGAAGCGAGAGAAATGAGTGTTGCAGAGAGAGGAAACAACACATCCAAAGACTGATTAAATGAATGGTGTGGCAATAAGTGTAGCTACAATTATTTCAGTGTGGCTGGAGCCCAGGCTGTAGGGGCAAGTCAGTCTGAGTCCACAAATGAAGCAAACAAAATGTAGCATGATTTTAAGCAGTGGTTCTCAAAGTGAAATCAGGCCAGGAACATTAGCATCACCTGGAAACCTATTGTAAGTGCAAATTCTTGGGCCTATCCCAGACCTCCTGAATGAGAAACTTTAGGTCTTTTAAAGGTTCTCCATGTGATTATGATGAATGGTTGATATTTTAAAAACATGATTTTAAGCAATGATGAAATGTAACTACGTTTTCAAAAAACAATGAAATAATTCTTTTTTTTTTTTTTTTAAGATGGGGTTTCGCCATATAAGTCAGGCTGGTCTTGAACTCCTGACCTCAGGAGATCTGCCCACCTTGGCCTCCCAAACTGCTGGGATTACAGGCGTGAGCCACCGCACCCGGCTGAAATAATTCTTCATTACGTAATTCAGAAGACCAAGGAGAAACCATGAATTCCTGTATAATATCTGGATGGGCACCAACTATAATTCCCTTCATATGCTTAGGTTTTCTTTGACAGCAGTTAACCAATTTAATAGGTTACTCTACGTACAGATTCAATTTGCCCTAAGCTTCATCTTGGCAAAATACTCTGAACTAGGCTTACACTGTAAATTAAAAAACATCAAAACAGAAAGAAAACAAAACTAGGCCTGGCACAGTGACTCACACCTGTGATCCCAGCACGTTGAGAGGCTGGAGTGGGTGGATCACCTAAGGTCAGGAATTTGAGACCGGCCTGACCAATGTGGTGAAACCCCATCTCTACTAAAAATGCAAAAATTAGCTGGGCGTCATGACGCACACCTGTTATCCCAAATACTTGGGAGGCTGAGGCAGGAGAATTGCCTGAACCCGGGAGGCAGAGGTTGCAGTGAGTCAAGATCATGCCACTATACTCCAGCCTCGGCAAGAGAAAGAGACTGTCTCAAACATGGAAATAGTGGCCCATGGAAATAAACACTGGTCTTGAACTCCTGACCTCAGGTGATCTGCTCACCTTAGCCTCCCAAAATACTGGGATTACAGGTGTGAGCCACTGTGCCCAGCCTTTTTTTTTTTTAAATTCACCAGTGAAGAAGCAGTACTGACTATAGTTCTTAACCCTGCATTGTATATGAATTTGTCTTCTATTAGATCATATGTTCCTCTCCAGAAGCTGATACAGCACCTTGCACATAGTAGGTCCTCAGCAACATGGCAGAGACTACAGTCTGTCTATTCCAATATTCAGTCATTTTCTCTTAGTAAAAGAAACCCCAGTTATGACCAGAGAAAAACAAGAAGTACTACCTGGAAGCTTCTAAGAAATATCCTCAAAAATACTAAGTGACACTTCCTTAACACACATCTGCTGTGTGGCTTAGAATGTAGATGAAATGATTGGTGCTCCAACTTGGATCCTGGGGATGATGAAGACAAAAGCTGGAAGCAGCCTTAGATGCTAGATGACTGCAGAGCTGACAAAACAGACAGCAGCCATTATTTAGAAATCTTTGTTATTTTGGATCTCTATGACTTGTAGAGAAACCTAATCCAAACTAGTAATCTGATACCCAACTTCTAATTTTTGCTACCAATTGCACCTAATCCAAACTAATAAATGATCTGATATCCAACATCTAATTTTTTGCTACCAATTGCTGTATTTTCCAAGAAAAGTATGAATATTGCCTTATTAATTCATGCTCTAGTTCAGCTTCTCAGTTTTTCACTGACACACTTTGAAATGCAATGTTTCCCCAGCTCTGATTTCCTTTCACAGCCCATTTTGCTCTGTCACTTGTATCCCTTATTTAATTCCTCTTCTCCAGCTAAAGTGTCTCAGTCACTTCTCACTTCTATATGATATGAGCGTGGCAGCTCACAGCGGTAATCCCAGCACTTTGAGAGGCCAAGCAGGAAGACTGCTTGGGGCCAGGAGTTCGAGACTAGCCTGGGTAACACAGTGAGACTCTGTCTTTACAATAAATAAATAAAAATTACCCAGGCATGGTAGTATGCACCTGTAGTCTCAGCTACTGTCAGGAAGCTAAGATGGAAAGACCGCTTGAACCCAGGATTTCAAGGCAGTAGTGAGCCATAATCTCACCAGTGCACTCTGGCCAAAATAGACACATGGGATCTAATTAAACTCCAGAGCTTAATTCGCTCTGGGGAGAGTGGGGACATGAGAAATACCCGATATAGGTGATCGAGTGAGGAAGGCAGCAAACCACCTTGCCATGTATGTACCTATGCAACAATCCTGCATGATCTGCACATGTACCCCAGAACCAAAAGTACAATAATAAAAAATAACCAACTAAATTTCATTTTGGATATTAAAGAGAAACAGTGTTATAAATTTAATAAATAATTCTTCCTACTTCCTCAAAAATGCCTTCATTTCCAAAAACACTTTTGCATTATTTGCACTCAGTCTTTCTTTGCTTGAGATCTTACGTAGAGGTCATATTTGTCTGCTTTATTTATTAGAAGCTACAGGGTATCCATTTTCATGTTCTTATTTTTCTCTTGTACTTATCACTACTCTTACTTTCCATTCCAATTTATTTGTGTTTAAGAGTTGCTAGCTCCTCTTTCTGCTCTGAGTGAGGTGAGAATTCGTCTCTAAACTGTAGTTGGAATTTCTGTACTTGTTGTCCAAGGGTCACGTTTTTTAATCTGCTTTTCTGGCTTTGCCCTTTTGACCTAGCAAACTTGATTTTTATTTGTTCCAGATAATTTCATGGTATCATAATGAGTTTAATAAAGGAAGTAACTCTGTACACTCTCATTAACTTCCAAAAACTTTCCTCATGGAGACAACTAAAATTCCACAAAAAATTCTGCAAACCATGAGAAGAATGCGACATAAATACCCTCAAGCTTTACTTCTACTTTCTTTTCAAGATAATTGAGCAGGAGCTCTGACTTTTTTGTAACTGGAACTGCCCAGAAAAGCAAGAGATGCCACCCTAACTGTAAATAACTAGAAATTTCTAAGCAAAGTAAAGGTTACCTTTCATATTTAACAAGGTAAGAGGCAGAACTGTGAATGCCACCGGTATCTCTATTTTCAGCAACTTCTACAAGTGTTCCTAGACCGTCTGGTCACATCTTCAAACCTTCAAGGCTGAACTTAGGAGTTCGAGACCAATCTGGCCAACATGGTACTCTACCAAAAAGAAAAGAAAAAAAAATCAGTTGGGCAAGGTGGTATGTGCCCGTAATCCCAGCTACTCGAGAGGCTGAGGCAGGAGAATCACTTGAACCCGGGAGGCAGAGGTTGCAGTGAGCCAAGATAGTGCCAAAGGAAATATGGTCTAGTTTAGACTCACCTCAACCAAAGCAGCTCTTAATTTTTTTTTTTTTTTTTTTTGAGACAGAGTGTCGCTCTTGTTACCCAGGCTGGAGTGCAATGGCGCGATCTTGGCTCACCGCAACCTCCGCCTCCTGGGTTCAAGCAATTCTCCTGCCTCAGCCTCCTGAGTAGCTGGGACTACAGGCACGCGCCACCATGCCCAGCTAATTTTTTGTATTTTTAGTAGAGACGGGGTTTCACCATGTTGACCAGGATGGTCTCCATCTCTCGACCTTGTGATCCACCCGCCTCGGCCTCCCAAAGTGCTGGGATTACAGGCTTGAGCCACCGCGCCCGGCAATTGTTTTGTATTAGAATTCTAGGTAAGATTTTCTGTCAAAGAGGGGTTCAAATATTATTTTGCTTTTAAGTTCTAGAAAACAATTGTAGCCTACCAGAAAAGACTAAAATACCAAGTGTTGGTAAAGATGTGCGGCAACTAGAACATATTCATCCACAGTACAGCCATACATGAAAAAGACACTTTTAAAAACTGTTAGAAAGTACCTGTTACACGCACATACACACACATACACCCTTTATCATCCAGCGGTTCTACTCACTGGTATATATCTTAAAGAAATACGTGCTATGTCCACCAAAAGTAATGTACAAGAATGTTCTTAGCAACTTTTATGCATAATAGGTCCAAACTAGAAAGACCCCAAATGCAAAAATCTTGGAATAAACATTGGTATATTCTACTCATAGTTGTGATATGTTAATTTTTTTTTTTTTTTTTTTTTTTTGAGACGGAGTTTCGCTCTTGTTACCCAGGCTGGAGTGCAATGGCGCGATCTTGGCTCACCGCAACCTCCGCCTCCTGGGTTCAGGCAATTCTCCTGCCTCAACCTCCTGAGTAGCTGGGATTACAGGCACACGCCACCATGCCCAGCTAATTTTTTGTATTTTTAGTAGAGACGGGGTTTCACCATGTTGACCAGGATGGTCTCGATCTCTTGACCTCGTGATCCACCCGCCACGGCCTCCCAAAGTGCTGGGATTACAGGCTTGAGCCACCGTGCCCGGCAGGATATGTTAATTTTTGACAAAGCATAGAGCCTTACTGGGCCTCCATTCCACACACTGAAATGCTAAGTAAGGTCTCTTTGCTTTCTAAAGTTCATTAATTCATAATATAATTTCTATGGATTTTCTTGGTCTTTATGTTTACCTTAAACATAGCAAGTATATATATATAAGATGTTCTCTTCTGATTGGCACCAAAATTTAACTTAAGCATATCTCTTTAATCCCTACTGAAGAGCTTGATGGTCTAACAGGCTTCTTTCATATTAGCAGATGTGGCTGGCATCAGTGTCAGGCCAACAGACCAGCACAAAGACTGAAATACTTAACACAGGTGATTAAAAGCCAATTATAGTCTATTATCTGGAAAAAAATAATAAACTACAGTGACAGTAGCCAGAGCTGAAATTTTCTTTGAAGCAATAAAAATAACCTAGAGCCAGTACAGTGATGGTACATCGTAACTTACAATTTAACAATTGAAAGCTACGTATAGGCAGGCAGCTGTTCCTTTGAGATTATCTATACGAGAAATAAATACTTACTATACAAGTGCTATACAGTGAAAAAAAATGAGGAGATATTCCTTGGTGAAAGTAGAAGGGCACACAGGAAAGCATACTGCTTTTTATTTTTTTACAGCAGTTATATAAATGAAAAAGACAAAAATAAAATTTAGTTATAGTCAACTTTTCTTCATGAAGAGATGCTACCTGAATTTAATGGTAGTTTCCATTTTTAAATCCTCATTCCAGGTATATAAGTCATCAAGTCAAGTTATTAGATCAAATGAGGGCATACTAGTTGTCACTTCATGAGAAAAGCAGCAAAATGTTAAAATGATATATACACACGCATACATGTGTATATATCATTATTAGCTAAAATAGTCAAAATAAAAAAAATGTATCTTCTACTCAGTTTGACAGACACACTCCCCCATTCTCTCATTTGAAAAGTCTTAAATCCAATAAACTTCTTATATGGATTAGGCTTACAAATTCTGGAGATTCTCTAGCCTTCTGTAAAAAATAAGAGAAGATATATCCATCGATGACAGAAGCAGCACTACACGTAATAGAATGTCAGGGAGACAAGCACGACTTCATTGAGACCAAGGCATGGATTCCAGTTCTGGCCTGGCCATCTAAACCTGAGCAAATCACTTTAATCTTACTGTGACTCAGTCTTTTTGTCCATAAAATGAGGAGATTAGGTTAGACAGTACCTTTATATTTTTTTATCACTAAAAATTATAAAATGTTTATAATTGACTATGTGCTCACTGACATGATACTTGCACTTCCTGATTTTAACCTTAATCCACACAAAAGCTGACTATCCTCAATAACAACAATACCTAGAAATTAGAAATTGAAGCCACCGAAACGAAATATGGACATTAAGGCCTAAGGCCTTGAAGAAGGCTTTTCGCTGCCTATAAGCTCAGTTTGTATCCATCAAACAAAGATTTTTCACGTATAAATAAGTCAAAGTCTGTAATAAACTGATAGAGAATTAATAAAAAAGAAACCTCACCAATGAAGCAGTATCTGTTCAGAAAAGGTCTTCAGTTTCTATATATACACACACAGGTACATACACACATATATGTATATAAAACACATGCATACATGTGTATATATCATTATTAGAGTCAAAATAAAAAAACGTTATCTTCTACTCACTTTGACAGAGACACTCCCCCAGCTTTCCCAATCATCTCTTCATGGTGTAATACTGAGTAGTTCCAGGGAATATGGAGGAACTTTAAGAGTGTTCTCATCCACTGTTCAGGATGTAAGACAAGCTGTTTGTAGTGAAACAACATGCACTTTTTATAACCAACCTCCATACACTGGTTATACATGGTCTCTATGGCACGATTCCACTTGGTCAAGCAGTCCCTGTAGCTGTTCAGGTCAAATCCAGCTATGGTAACTTTTAGAGAAATCATCGAATGTACTGATGCCCGGCCATCTCGGACCATCAGGAGAAATTTGGCATTGGGGAATAACCTAGCAAGGTTTAAGTTAAGGATTTCAGGGCAAAAGGATCTTTATTACATAAATAAGGGGCTGGCTCCCCATGCTTAACGATGATTTCTAGTAAGAAGGCTTGCATGGCAGAATCCAGCACTTCATCAGTAACACCAGCCTCATCCAGCCGGATCTTCTCTTTACTTGACCGTGACCACATCTGCTTCAGGGCCAGGATTCGGGAAATGACCCTGGTTTCCTCTCCACAGCAAATGTCAGAATGCCCATCCAGCATGGCCCTCATGATTGTGGTTCCAGTCCGAGGCACACCTCCAAAAAACATTAAAGGCATATCTTTGTGATAGGCAAAGGTTTCAATGGCTTTGAGGTCTAGGCCAGTTCTCATGTGGTTCTTGTACTCTCCAATTTGGTTGGCTACATTCCTCTGTCTGGTGATGGCATTCCATGGCATGCTGGCCCACGTAAAACATGGTCACAGAACTAATCACCAGACACACCAATAGTAAGTGCTGCTTCAGCTTGCCAGCCATCTTGATGTGGTTATCTTGTTATTAAACAGTTATTTTGCTCAAAGTGATTTTCACAAAATGTTCAGGCCATGGAGAGTCTACTTCAGAAAGATGACCAACATCTAATGAAAAAGAAAAGGTTATTTTGTCATCACATCAAGATTGCTTGCAAACCAGTCACCAGTTGACACCACTGCATTTTAGCTAGAAAGCAGCTGAAATAGTCTTGGATTCTTTGATATTCTTAAAACAATTTTCATTAAAATTTATTTTACTCAGTATATATAGTAGACACAAATTTAAGTGAAAATAAATCAATGTGATGATGGCCGATTAGGAGCAGCTCTGGATTGCAGCTCCCAGCAAGAGCGTGCAGGGTGAGTGGACATCACATTTCCAGATGGATTTTTATTGCCCACAGACCAGGAGATTCCTGGGTGGAGGAACCCCATGGGTCACCTGCGTGGCTATTTTGGCCAGTGTGGCAGGTCTCTAAACAAAATACACAGGTCTGGGCACTGTTAGCTGGTGATTGGAGCACCAGGGAGACAGAGTCACCCGTTCAACTGATAAAAAGGGGATTGAAACAGGGAGCCGGGCCAGGAGAGTCCCGGGCGAAAAGCGCCACGAATCTCCAGTGCAGCCACTTCAGCTGGCGCAATGGGTCGCCACACAGGAAATCACACAGATCCCAGCGCCTTTTCAACAGGCAACTGGAATGCCTGGGAGACAAGAGTGGCCCATTCAGTGGAGAAAAAGGGGACTGAAACGGAGCCAGGCCAGGAGATTCCTGGGCAAAAAAGCGCCATAAGCCCCCAGTATGGCTGTTTCAGCCAGTGCAGCAGGTCTCTGCACAAAATCTCTAACAAATCCGGGTGCCTTTTCAACTGGTGACTGGAACACCTGGGAGATAGAGTCACCCATTCAACTGAAAAAAAGGAGACTGAAAGGGAACTGAACTAGGAGATTCCCTGGTGAAAAAGCGCCACAGTCTCTAGCAGCTGTTTCAGCTGATGCAGTGGGTCTATGCATAAGAAATCACACAAATCCGGGCACTGTTTCAACTGGCGACTGGGATGGCTGGGAGAAAGAGTCGCCCATTCAACTGGAAAAAAAAAGGGGTCTGAGACATGGAGCCGGGTAATCAAGCTCGTCCGGTCCCACCCCGACAAAAAAACAGCAAGGGTTTCACAGCAACCACAGCTGAAACTGGGACAGTCCAGCTCTATGGGGGAGGGGCATCCACCATTACCAAGGTAGTCCACCATTGCTGAGGCGGCCCGCCATTGCTGAGGAATCTGCTATTACAGAAAGAATTTGCCCTCACAGAGGTGGGCTGTCATTGACAAGGCAGTTCTAACTACACCCCTATAAAAGGGACTGCAGGGAATTTCACATGGCAGGTGGTTGGAGCCCATGGCAGCTCAGCAAAGCCTCTGCAGGCAGACTGTGACTAGGCTGCCTCCTTGCTGGGCAGGGCAGCCCTGAAAAAAGGCAGCAGCATGACAGAAATTTATAAATAAAACCCTACCTTCCTGGGACAGAGCACCTGGGAAAAATAAAAAGCTGTTTATGAGTTCTGCTGCAGCAGACTTAAACGGACCTGTCTAGCAGCTCTGAATGGAACAATGGAGCTGACAGCTCAGCACCTGACTCCTATAAAGGACAGAATGTCTCCTCAAGCAGCTCCCTGACCCCTGTGTATCCAAAGAATCACCTCATAAAGAAGAGCTCAGACTGACATCTGGCGGGTATCCTTCTGGGACAGAGATAGCAGAAGAAGAAACTGGCAGCAACCCTTACTGTTCTGCAGCCGATACAGGTGATCCCCAGGCAAGCAGGGCCTGGAGTGGACCTCAGCAGTCCTACAGCAGAGAGGCCTGACTGTTAGAAGGAAAACTAAGAAACAGAAGTAGGCCGGGCGCGGTGGCTCAAGCTTGTAATCCCAGCACTTTGGGAGGCCGAGGCGGGTGGATCACGAGGTCGAGAGATCGAGACCATCCTGGTCAACATGGTGAAACCCCATCTCTACTAAAAATACAAAAAATTAGCTGGGCATGGTGGCACGTGTCTGTAATCCCAGCTACTCAGGAGGCTGAGGCGGGAGAACTGCCTGAACCCAGGAGGCGGAGGTTGCGGTGAGCCGAGATCGCGCCATTGCACTCCAGCCTGGGTAACAAGAGCGAAACTCCGTCTCAAAAAAAAAAAAAAAAAAAAAAAAAAGAAACAGAAGTAACTTCATCAGCAACAAACTGACATCCAATCAGAAACCCCACTGAAAGTCAACAACTACAAACACCACAGTTAAATCAATCCACAAACATGGGAAGAAACCAGCACAAAATGGATGAAAACATCCAAAACCAGAATGCCTCTCCTCCTCCAAGAGATCACAACTCCTCACCACCAAGGGATCAAGGCTGGATGGAGAATGAGTCTGAATTGACAGAAACAGGCTTCAGAGGGTGAGTAATAAGAAACTTCTCTGAGCTAAAAGAACACGTTCTAACCCAATGCAAAGAAACTAAGAACCTTGAAAAAAGATTTGACAAAATGCTAACGAGAATAAACAGCATAGAGACGAATATAAATGAATTGAAGGAGCTGAAAACACGAGAACTTTGCAAAGCACACACTAGTTTCAAGAGCCAAACTGACCAAGACGAAGAAAGGATATCAGAGGTCAAAAATCACATCTATGTAATAAAATGAGAAGGCAAGATTAGGGAAACAAAGGGTAAAAAGAAATGAGCAAAGTCTCCAAGAAATATGGAACTATGTGAAAAGACCTAATCTATGTTTGATAGGTGTACCTGAATGTCATGGAGAGAACGAATCCAAGCTGCGAAATATTCTTCAGGATATCATCCAGGAAAACTTCCCCAACCTAGCAAGGCTGGCCAATATTCAAGTCCAGGAAATACAGCGAACATCATGAAGATATTCCTCAAGAAGACCAAACCCAAGGCACACAACTGTCAGATTCACCAGGCTTGAAATGAAGGAGAAAATGCAAAGGGCAGCCAGAGAGAAAGGTCAAGTTACCCACAAAGGGAAGCTCATCAGACTCACAGTGGATCTCTCAGCAGAAACCCTACAAGCCAGATGAGAGAGGGGGCCAATATTCAACATGTTAAAAAGAAGAACTTTCAACCCAGAATTTCATATCCAGTCAAACTCAGCTTCATAAGTGAAGGAAAAATAAAATGTTTTATGAACAAGCAATTACTCAGAGATTTCATCACCACCAGGCCTGCTTTTCAAGAGCTCCTGAAAGAAGCACTAAACATAGAAAAGAACCACCAGTACCAGCCACTGCAAAAACATACCAAATGGTAAAGAGCATTGACACAATGAAGAAACCGCATCAACTAATGGGCAAAACAACCAACTAGCATCAAAATGGCAGAATCAAATTCACACGTAACAGTATTAACCCTAAATTTAAATAGGCTAAATGTCCCAATCAAAAGACACTGGCAAACTGGATAAAAAGCCAAAACCCATCTGTGTGCTGTATCCAGGAAACCACCTCACATGCAAGGATACACACAGGCTCAAAATAAAGAGATCGAGGAAGACTTATCAAGCAAATGGAGAGCAAAAAAAAAGCAGAAGTTGCAATCCTAGTCTCTGATAAAATGGACTTTAAACCAACAAAGATCAAAAGAGACAAAGAAGGACATTACATAATGGTAAAAGGATCAATGCAACAAGAAGAGCTAATGATCCTAAATATATATGCACCCAATACAGGAGCACCCAGATAAATAAAGCAAGTTCTCAATGACTTACAAAGAGACAGACTACCACACAATAATAGTGGGAGACTTTAACACTCCACTTTCAATATTAGACAGATCAATGAGACAGAAAATTAACAAGGATATCCAGGACTTGAATTCAGACCTGGAACAAAAAACCTAATAGACATTTAAATAACTCTCCATCCCAAATCCACAGAATGTACATTCTTCTCAGCATCACATCACACCTACTCTAAAACTGACCACATAATTGGAAGTAAATCACTCCTCAGCAAATGCAAAAAAATGGAAATCATAACAACAGTCTCTCAGACCACAGGGCAATCAAGTTAGAAGTGAGAAACTAACTCAGAACCACACAGCTTCATGGAAACTGAACAACTGATTATTGAATGTTGACTGGATAAACAATGAAATGAAGGGAGAAATAAAGAAGACTTTGAAACCAATGAGAATGAAGACACAACATACCAGAATCTATGGGACACATTTAAAATGGTGGCTAGAGGAAAATACATACCAGTAAATGCCCACATGAGAGGGAAAGAAAGATCTAAAATCAACACCCTATCATCAAAATTGAGAGCTAGAGGAGCACAATTAAAAAAAAAACAAAACTCAAAACCTAACAGAAGACAAGAAATAACTAAGATCAGATCAGAACTGAAGGAGATAGAGACACAAAAAACTCTTCAAAAAAAATAAATACATACAGGAGCTGGTTTTTTGAAAATATCAACAAAAGAGACCACTAGCCAGATTAATTTAAAGAGAGAATAATCAAATAGATGCAATAAAAAATGATAAAGGGGATATCACCACAGATTCCACAGAAATACAAGAGATTATTACATCATCAGAGATTATTACAAACAACTCTATGCACACAAACTAGTAAAGCTGGAAGAAATGGATAAATTCCTGGACACCTGCATCCTCCCAAGCCTAAACCAGGATGAAGTTGAAACTCTGAATAGACCAATAACAGCAATAAGAGCCTACCACTCAAAAAAAGCCCAGGTGCAGATGGGTTCACAGCCGAATGCTACCAGACATACAAAGAGGAGCTGGTATCATTCCTTCTGAAACTATTCCAAATAATCCAAAAAGAGGGAATCCTTCCCAAATCATTTCATGAGACCAACATCATCCTGATACCAAAACCCGGAAGAGACTCAACAAGAAAAAAAAACTTCAGGCCAATATCCATGATGAACATAGATGCAAAAATCTTCAATAAAATACTGGCAAACCGATTGTAACAGCATATCAAAAAGCTTTTCCACCATGATCAAGTAGGCTTCATCCCGGGAATGCAAGGCTGGTTCAACATA